CTCTAGGGGCTGGCCAGATTTGCCCCGAATGATAACTTTTGTCATTGGACCGGGAACCAGGAGAAAAAGATAAAACAGAGAAACGGGCTCCACTGTCTAGGAGGAAAATGACCTTTTGTTTTTCTGCCATAATGGCTCCTCAACATTGATACCAAGAACTGGAGCATGGACAGGAGGCTGGGACCCATCAATCCATAGGAGGTAGCACCTCACCTTCCATCTTGTGACGGGGGCACTTAGACCTCCAGTGGTTACCCTTGCAGAGGGCAGGGTCCCGGTTGGGGGTGGGGCCGTCTCCTGGGCTGTCCCCCCTTAAACATTCTCTGCAGAAGTGCCCCTCCTATCCACCATGGTAGCAAGTTCATGATACAGGCCCCAGTCAGGTAGGGCCCTCTCTGAGAGTAGCAATGAGGCCATGGTGTCTCTTATCTTTTTCTCTCCTGTTAGTAAGGTCCCGGACATACAGACATAGCCATAAATACAGATATGGCTAGCTGTATTACTTGGTTCAATGACTTTTTCCCTTCAGTCACAGTCTGAGTTTTTTATGAATACCTGGGGCTGACTGTTAGAAATTTATCTTTGAGGAGATCCTCTCTCACCTGTGACTCTGGATCCATCGTGGTATGCTTTCTGATAGCTTCCTTAAGATGCTATAGAAAGTTAAGAGGATTTTTTTTTTTTTAGGTTGTTGCTGTAAAGTAAAGTTGTTATTTTACATTGACACCTGACACCCTGGAGAGCAAATCTCTGAACTGTTCTGGGCCTCAGTTTCCTCACTTGAAGAATGAGGGATCTGGTCTAGGTAAACTATGTTTTTCCACTATGAGATGGCTGAAGTGACATTAATGCCACTTATCTTCTTTACCTTTTTTTTTTTTTTAGTAATGCTGGGGAATTGAACCCAGGGCCTTGTACATGCTGGGCAGACATTTTTTCATTGAGCTATGTCTTTATCCCAAATATATATATTTGTTTTCCTTTTATAGAAAAGGTCTAATTGGAATATGGTATTGTAATTTAAGGAGCCCTGTGAAGTCCACTTCTCTTGGTCACCCAAGGCATACTGAGGCCAGGCCTCAGTACAAAGCTTCCAACATCTACCAGCCAGAAGACTGGAAGATCCAGGTCCCATCTAGAAAGAACAAAACGTTAGGATCCTGTCTTTTAGCTAACAGCAGGCAGCCTCTTTAATAAAGCCTACCTTTTTAACAAAGAAATCATTTGTAAAGTTAGAGAAGGGCATTCAGAGGGCATTTCAGGCCAATACCAGTGCCATATGGGACAACTAGTGCTAATATTTGGAGAGAAAAATTTATGCTGAGGCCAAAGGTATAGAAAATTCTAAATGAGAAGTTTAGAGACCACAGTAGTGTCTATTTTGTTATTTCTGGATCTATAACCTTGAGCTAACAATTGACTTACAAGGGTCTGATGCACCAAGGTGTGAGGTGGGGCTAGGAGCAGGGTGTGTGTAAGGCGCCACTCCCTGCACACACACCTGGGACAAATTACCCTGCCTAGGCCTGATCCTGCAGCCTGTTGCCCCTCCCCTTTCCTGTGTACACGTTTATTCTAGGGGAAGTGGTGGCGGGCTGCAGCCATCGCCATGTGTGGCTGGTGGCCCAGGATGTGCTGGATCTTCTCTATGGATTTTCTTAGCTATGGGAGGTGTTTTTGCTGTGTCCAGGAGCCGGCATCCTGTGCACAAGCGTGCCTGTTTGCTTTCCCTCCTCCCCTTGTGGGGGCAGAGTTACGGTGTGATTTGTAATGCTTTTGTAAAGCAGCTGATTTAAAGTTACTTTAGACTGAGAGGCCTGGCAAACTAGTTGGAATAGCTTAAGTCATAAGGTACCATGCTACAGGTTTTTCATGGGAGGCAGGGTCCCAGTAAGCCCAGGGAGGGGAAGGCAGACAGAGACAAAGGACATGTGGTGAGACCATGGAGGAGGCAGAAAAGGTGTGCTGACATCTTAGGTAAGGGAGGGGAAGGCAGAGCCTGGAGGCATGACACACGCCTATGGGGTTAGCCATCACCTGTGTCTCTAGGTCGCTCCCATTGACTGGTACTGGAACACTTTCAGCAAAATGAAACCTCCACTCTCCGGTCGCTGTCTCAGGAAAAAGGGACATTAGCTGGGGGGAGGGGGTAAGAGAAGCAGTCATCAGGTGACATAATCAAACAGGGCTCCGCCAATGTAGCATGAGGCATACTTGAATAAATCCGGGGCTTGGTCTCAGCCCACAGGAAGGGAGCATGAGCTCTCCCAGAGCTGGAATCAACTTGAGGCCAGAATTGGCAAGGAGTGGCTTGCTTAACTCCATGACGGGGAAAGTTTTTCAGGAAGATAGGAAGAAATAGTATGGTAAGCAGTGCAAGAAGTCTGTTTACATGAGGAAGGAGGAGGTTTGGAAGAGGAATTGGTTGATTTAGAAACTGGTTTACAGGCTAATAGAATCTGCACAGGGGAACAGAAAGTACAGAGGGAGGGTTTGATGCAGAGATAGGGAAAGGATTGGATGTAGGAAAGTTCCTTCCATTTACCAGCATGCTTACAGAGATTGTATAAATCCCATAAAATACTGGGATTGAAAGTGCCATTAAGTGGCCATTTGGAGGCATTGTCCAATGGATATTAGGGCCAGGCCTGATTACAGAGAAAAATGAGCTTTTGTGGCTTAAGATCAGGTGTTAGGCGGAGGGGCCCAAGGTTGGCCAGGAGACATCCCAGTGGGGAGTCTGAAGGAATTTGGGATGGTCCAACTCCCATGGTGAAGGCCTGACCTGAGGAGAGATATGGCGGGCATCCCCAAAATATCAGGTCCTCAGGAGAGAGAGAGAGAAATGTGGAACACAACACCCAGAAGAAACATCTTCACCATAGGGGTGTCCACAGTCCCTAGTGAGGAACCCAGTTCCCAGAGACAAAAGTAAGCTGCAACCTAGCGCTAGGGTTTTCGAGGAAATGAGAGAGACCACAGCTCAGCGTGAGAGGAGGTCTCACTGAGGAAGAGAGGACCTTGAGGGAAGATTGGCCGGTGGTGGATGGCAGTTGGAGGCGTGCTGGAGCAGAGGAACTTCCCTGTGAGCTAGTGAGAGAGTGGCATTTTCTAGGATCAGGGGTCCCGGTAAAGCAGCTCAGATCCCAGAGGAAGGAAATGGGAATTGGGGTGGGGGGATGGGATAGGGAAGGCCAGGAGAGCAAGGTCAGTGCCAGGAACTGAACCCAATCTGAGTCACAGCACCAAATGTTAGGAAAAACGCCGCTCACAAGAAAAGTCTCATGTCCATAGAGCAAAGTTTAATGGCAGGCCCAAACTGCCAGGCTGGCTGGGAAAAGATGGCACAGCCCCAAGTCTGGGCGAGCAGTGGCTTTTATAGAAGGGGGAGGGTAAGGAAGTTAGTGCATGCGCAGTAGTCTCTGTCTTAGAACATGGGAATTTGTTTAAGGGCGGGGCTGCCATTTTGGCTGATTCACAAAATGGTGACATTATTGTTCTATCACCAAGGATCGGGGTTGGAGATTGGGTTTTTTAGCCTTTATTGCTCAAGAGCGGAGATGTCTCTTAGGTGCAGACAGAAGTTTCCTGGGAAGGAGAAGTGTCCTTGATCAATTATCACCTTTTGGAACCTCCTGAAGTCCATCCTTCACAAGGAGTGGGCCTGCTTAGTTAATGCTACACCAATGACATACTCTTCCTACTGGGGCAAGTACCAAAGACTGGCTGATCTGGGACTTAGAATCAGAAATAGGTGAGGCAGAGATGCACACGTTGGATGGACTTGAAAATTGTTAACTTATCAACAAATCAAAAGTTGTCTTATCAAGTCTCTCACTCCGGCAAGTTCGTGAGACTCAAGGAGGGGGTGTAAGGATCTATTACAGTCTATGATCTTCAGGAACATAAACTTGTTGTATAAGGTATTTATAAATACATAATTCAATTCAGAATGTTATGGGACATCTTGTTTAATGAGTATAGAGCTTCAATTTGGCAAGATGAAAAAGTTCTGAAGATAAGTTTACCATAATGTAAATACACTTGACACTCTTGAACTGTACATTTAAAATTGTTATGTTGACAAATTTTATGTTTATATTTTATCACAACTAGAGTAAAAACTATATTAAAATTTTTAACATTAAATTAAATTCAAAGGAGGCCAACCAACTGCCCTAGACCATCAGAGGAGGTTGTCTCTAAGTCACAAGTACAGGTATGATGGTGACAAGAACAGCCTTTCATGTTCAGTAACTTGGTTAATCCTCTCTCAGTACCATGTAGCAGATATTATTCTCTCCAGGCTGACTCTGAAATCAAGGAGAATGCCAATTCTTTGGTTTACCTTACTCTTTAAAAAAAAAAACCAGAGTTGGGCGTGGTGGTGCACACCTATAATTACAGCCCTCAGAGGGCTGAGGCAGGAGGATCACAAGTTCAAGGTCAACCTGGGCAAAGGCACTGCTTTAGAATTAAAGACTGTGACTCACAAAAACCAAAATCAGATGCCAAAATATTCCCATAGAATGCCAAATCAAGAGAAAAGAAAGAAGAAGTGCTGGGGGCATGACTTAAATGGTAGAGCACCTGCCTAGCGAACACAAAGCCCTGAGTTTGACCCACAGCACCACAAACAGGAAGAAAGAAAAAAGTTTCTGTGATCCATTTTATTCATGCAGAGAGATGTTTACAGTCAAATAATGTCTACAAAACTTCAACAAAACAATGGCATCTTCAAATGTCTGTAAGTATATGTGTTTATGACACTCATCTTTTGAATTTATAAAAATTAGAAATGTCCCCCAGAGGGTTTTGCTATGTGACAATGGAACTAAAAGTACTGAATGCTTAGTTTCATTGTCCCAAAAAAAGTGTCCTTAAATTTTTTTTTCAACAAAAGGACTATGAAGCGGTAATCTTTGCATGCTTGAGCCTGGCAACAACACACAACAACGTCCTTCCTTCCTTCTCAATGGAAGCCAGCCTTAGCCATAGCACTACCGTCCCAGTCCAATCAGTTGCAAAATAAAAATGAAAAGGTTGATGATGTCCAAGTAAATGTTCAGGGCAGCAAAAACATACTCTTCAGGGTCCAGGTTATAATGATGATGACTGCCTCCCACCATAAGCTGCACATCCATCACCAGGTACTTTAAAAAAAAAAAGGAAACAAATTAGCTACTGAAATTGTACATGGTATGTCCATCAAGTAAGTGTCCTAAATGGTCTGGGAAATTACTTTAACACCGAGAAAAACGTAGAAAGTCAGTTTCAGGGTGAGTATGTTACTCTTACAGCCTCAGTCCAAGCTTGTACTCTGTAAGCACACGTGCCTCTCCTGAAGCCTGCCAACTTCCTTTGCTTTCCATGCCCAAAAACCATCACACCTTTAGTCAGTGACGTGAACCAGATGGACAAAGTGGACACAGAAGTAAACTAAAACTACCCTGTGCTTGTGATTCCTCCATGTTTTTGTTAAACAGAGGAACAAAATTATGCTCATTCCTAGACACACAAAGAGTAATAATTGCATTGTTTGAGCTTTGGGTGACAGCAAACCTCACCATTTAGAGAGGGCTTCATGGTAGTGTCTGTATATCCAAAATAGAGTGAGGAGAGAGAGCTCAACTGTGGCTAAATAACACTACCAACCCCTCCCCCACCAAGAAACATTTCAGTTCAGCCGCAGTAGGTAAAATTATGAGTTTCAGGTCCTAAAATATGAAGATGAAAAAGTCAAACAGCTTTGTGTTTGTTGTAAAGTGAGGAGACCTGGGCAGCATGGACAGTGAACCCAGTCATCGGTGTCCAGACACTAAACTAAGAGCCCAGTGAGGCAGAGCCCAGCAGACAGACCAGCACTGGCATTAGCAAGAATTCCTGGGGTTTTAAACATTCTTCAAACTTTAGAACAATATCCACTTCAGTGAAAGCTGTCCTAAGGATTCAGATATCCCTCTCTCCCTGGCTGGTTTTCATGTGGACTTGTAAAAGTGAGAAGGAAGAAACCAGACGGAAGTTACTGTCATGACCTGGGCAGTCTCACACTGGCTTCATGACAGATGTCTCCTGTAATGTGGGTACAGCCCCGTTGGGGAGGTGGGATTTAACTGAGCCTTGCAGAAGGGAAGGACATACTATGGTGGGTGATAGAAAAGAGTCCAACATGAGCTAGGAGGATGCCAAAGCAGCACCCACCTGAACTGCTGAGCCCCATTCCCCTTCCTCTTACATCTCGTTTTGGCAACTTTGGAAGGAAAAACAGCAAACTAGGACATTTGGTGTCCCAAAAGACCGCCAGGAGCTGAGCACCCAGCTTTGCTCTTTGTCTCCCTCTAACACTCTTGAGTCTGATTCATAGGGAGAAGTGCTTCTCTCTCTTCCTCCCCTCTAGAAATCCCTAAGTTTATTCTAATAGGGAATTACGATTTTTTAATCATTTCACAGGCATGGGTTGGATGGCTGGGAATGTGGCTTCTGAGCAGAGGTTGTATATTTGAGGGCAGAGGGAAAAGGAGCAAGGAGGATGAGCAGGGATGCAGTTGTGCCCAGTCCCCTCCAAGGAGACCATGGCTCAGGGTACCATCCCAGACACAACCAACCCACAGAAGTTCCAGCCAGGATTCAGACCCCTGGGAGTACTCTGTCTTAACACCATCACAACTCTTTTACACACACACACACACACACACACACACACACACACACACATTTTTTCACTGTTGGGTAAACTGCCTGACCCTACAATGTTTGCTCTGCCTACAAATGGGGAATAGTACACCAAACTACTTTTGCATGGAAACAAACTGCCTAAACAGGCCACAGGAGATGCCACAGCCAGTATCAGCACACAAAGGCTGAGCACACAGGAGCAAAGGAAAATGGGCACAAATCATTTCCTTTATAACAGGAGAAGAAATGAGAAAGCTGAAATATACAGGTTTAACCTCAAACTCCTGGTATAAAATTTTCCAACAATTAAAAGATATGACACAATTACAACAACAAAAAGAAATACAATGAAGTAAAATGTGTGTGAATGGTTTTAAAACTTGGTACTGTTTATGGAGCTCATTTGATCATTCTCTCTACTTCTGAGTATGCTTAGAAATTTTAAAAGTAAAATTTTTGTTTAAAAACCCTAGGGGGTTGGGAGTGTAGCTGTAGCTCAATGATAGCATTCACAAGGCCTCAGGTTTGATCCCCAACACTACAAAAAATGTTTAAAAACCCTAAAACAGGTGACATGATAAAAGCATAAAGTGGAATACCATGCAGCCCTTGAAAAAGAATGAGTTAGACCCTGATCTGCTTATATGTGGAGACCATTATTTTTAAGTGTAAAGCCCAGGACAAAACATTATCTGTAGTATGACTGCAATCATGTAACAGGAAATGGTGCGTATGTGTAAAGAACCACTGGCAGGATTCCCAGAAACTTCTATCACTGATTGCCTCTGAGCAAAAAGGAGATTTTAATTTCCATTTTGTAAATCTGCTGTTTGAATTTTAAAACGTAGATGGATTACTTATTTTTGACTATACTAGCGTTTGAACTCACTACCGCTTGAGCCACACCTCCACCCCATGGATAACTTTTAAAATAAATGGTGCTTAAACTAACTTGAAATAAAGACAGGACAGCAAGTGATGGCCTAAATGCAGTCCCAGGTGCATCCGCCTGCGCGCAGCCTGCAGGAAGGTCCTGCTGAGAGAGACCACACACTGCTGCAGGATCTTTGGCCTTATCAACAATGCTTTCTCCTCTTCTTAAATGTTCACTCTTTCAAGAAAAGCCATGCTTTCATGGGTGAGGAAGGTCTTCCAGCCGGAGGGCGACGGACAGCTCGGACCAACCACCCTCTCCAGGCAGAGCGTTGCGGGGTTACTAGCGCTCACTGACCACGGCGCTTCATCCAAAAGGGAGGGGTGGACTTACCAGGGAGAAGAGCACCGTTCCCAGCGCAGAGTAAATTAGATGGAGCCACTGCAGAGAGAAAGGGAACAATTACAGCTCAAGAAGGAGATTTGGAATAATGAAAGGGCTTTTTTAGTCATTGCCATCGGATAAGGACCAAATATTAAGAGAGTCAGCCAAGGGGTGGCTTGCCGGGAAATTTAGGACGCTGAGGCAGTAGGATCACGAGTTTTCAAGGCCAGCCTGGGCTACATAGCCAGACCCTGTCTCAAAAAAACAAAACAAAAAAACAGAGACAAGAACAAAGGAGAGGAAAGGAGGGGAGGGGAGGGGAGGAGAGGAGGTCAACCCTGTGGGAGAATTAAACTTTTCTTGAACATAGTCAATACCATACATTCAATTCCAGTAATAAAGCAAAGGAAAGCTAACTTTGCACCTGCCAAATAATATTTATCAAGTAAGCGGGATAAGGCAGGAAGAATGTATTTGACATATTCCACTTTTTGCATCATCCTCATAGTCCTTCTAGAGAGTCCACCCTCCCCTCCGCTCTAGAACAGTAGCCCTGAGAACACAGTGATCTCTAACACCCTACCTAGAGGCGATGATGAGAGGCAGCAGACACCCACCGGGAAAACTGAGCGCTGACTCATGAGAAACTTGTGCAGTGACTAGGCTTCAGCAAATGAGCTCAGTTCTCAGGACAGAAGAATCTAGGCAGCAGAGGCTGCTGTCACTGACAGTGCTAGAGCCCTTGCTGCACAAGTTGAAAGGCAAGTCAGATCGGCCCCAGATGGGAAGGTAGGGTTCTGCTACTGTGAATTCTGACTCTTCTAGACATCCAGGAGTTCCGTGAGACTCTCTAGGTCCTTGCCTCCTGCTAGTCTGAATGGAATCATTCCTTGAAACAAACACAGCCCTGATCAGAACACAGAATATGGGACTAGTTGAAATGCCCAAGGGTTTGGCTCATATAGGAAGAAAATAAGAAAGTGGTGTACAACACTTAAGAAAAATGTGGCATAAACTCTACAGGAGAAAGCTAGTGTCTAAGAGGGATGGGCAGAGCACCCATTCTGCTCCCCAGGAAAGGTTCTTAATGAAGGGAGATCAGGAATCAGTAAGGGAAACCCAATAGTTCCAGACTAAGCTAATAGTAAGAAAACACCTGACACCTAGAGTCCAGAGACTTCAAAATGGCTCACATCAAGCATATGGACTTTGAATGAGATGCCACCAAAATCTTTTATTAAAAAAAAATACATGTAAAGTTGTAGATATTTTGAAAAGAAATTTAGGATGGCAAACAGGCCATTTTATCTAGTAGGAAACACAGTTTCTTAACTAAGTGATACTGTAAGACCTATGGAATCCATCTAATAAATATTTGTATTGCTATCATTGTCTCTGCTACCACCAATAAAAGTACATGGAGAGCTGTGGCCTTTTAAGACATATCTTTGAGTTTGTCTTCAAAATATAGATGCCACATCTCTACATATAAAGTATGTACTTATTCACAAGGCTTTTTAAACCAACCCAGACAGAACTTCTGGTTATATGTCTGAAAATCATGTAACAAGTCCACTTGTTACCAAATTCTTTGATTCAGCCTTTGTTCCAGGTTGACCTTGGAGCTTCAGTCAATGGGTCACAGGCCCCAGGCCAGTCCTCAGTGGGCCTGACCTCCAACACAGAATACTCACAGACACCATAGGGCCATATCTTGTGTCTCTTGGTCTTCGTACCCACCCAAGAGTCAGTCTGCACACAATATATGATAAAGAGCTAGAATATGAGAGTCACACAGACCTGGCCTCCATGCCACCTCAACCCCTTACTCCTTGGGTTAACTTTTTAAAGGATTTATTTAATTTCTCTGGACCTGTTTAATTATCTATAAAATAGACAAGTCACATACTTTCAGCTGCTGGGAGTTGAGCGTGATGCTCCTATGAAGCATGCAGGCCTGTATCTGATATTTAGTAAGAACTCAGTGAACATACAGGAAAGGGAAAAGGCTGGAGCTAAGGAGCCCGAGCCACCTCTCGGCCGCTATTGAAGGACAAAGGAGTTTATCATTCTCATTCCCATGCTTTCCAACAACAGCACCATACAAAGAAGAAGCAGTCAGACCTGCCCCTGTGAGCAGGGTCACCTCAAGACCCTCTTTGGGAAGGACAGTTGTCACCAAGAACAGGAGCTCAGTATTCACACACTAGATCCCTAGTCCATGAATGACACCTGTGTGGTGGCCTCTGGGATGGACCTTACGAACCTACAGGTACTGGGAGGAGAGTGCAATCTGTTGGCAATAATGGCACCGATAGGTTTCAGTTCTTACTGCACCCTTAAGCTTCTGTTTTCCAGGGTTACCGTCCTGCCTCAAGTCTAGCTTGAATCCTCCTTCTGCCGCAACCTCCAATCAGCATGAACCATAAGATCCTAACCAATCAGATCATGCCAAGTCTCACTGAGGGGTATTTAAGCCCCTGCCCCTCCTGCTTCTCTCTCTTGGCTCCCTCCCTCTCCCACCCGGCAACAAAGAGTCTCTTGGCCAGATCACTCCTCTCCACGTGGTCACTTTTGGGGCCCACATTTCCAACATTTTGGTGCCATGACTTGGGGCGGGGCTCCCCACTAATCCTGGTGGGACCCCGATTCCTACTCACCTCATGACCACCCTGAGGATGTGACTGGCCAGAACTCATCCTCCCAATCACCCTCGCTCACATCCAACACCGGACATCTTCTTGGTGAGTCCACACACCCCTATTGGGCTCCCATTGTGGTCTCTCCCTTCGGTGTCTCTGGGGTTTCAATATTTCCCCTTTCTGATCATCCCTGGGACTCAGACAATGGGGAAAGATCTCCCTATCTACCACGGGCTTTGGTCTATTCTTGTCGTCCTCGGCCCTCACAGGCCGCCCTCCAAGAAAAGCGTGGTGCGGGGTGACCCATAGCCTCCACGGGGCTTTTTGGCCTGCAAACCACCTGAACTCAGCGACGGCTGATTCTCATGCGCTTTGCGTTTTCTCAGATATTTGTGCTGCGCGAGGATGCTCCACAGTACATAATATCCTCCTTTCCCATTCTGGGACCAGGTCCCTCATAATGGGTGCCTCTACATCTTCTCTGCCGTCTGACTCCCCACTGAGATGCCTCCTCAATAATTTGAATGCCTTGGGTTTGACCCCAGACATAAAACCAAAAAACGTGATCTGCTTTTGCACCCAAATCTGGCCCACTTATCCTTTAGACAACCAAAGTCACTGGCCCCTTTTCAGGTCTTTAGATCCTGCGTGCAGAGTACACAGGAAGTGGGGAGGGGCAAAAGGCCACAGGATCAGGCCTAGGCAGTCAGGGTCATTTGTCCCAGGTGTGTGTGCAGGGAGTGGCGCCTTGCACAAGTCCTGCTCCTAGCCCCACCTCACACCTCAGGGCATCTCATTAGAAAAGCAATGGGTTCTAGCCCAGGCCACTCAGGTTGGAAATGATTATATGGATCAAGCAGTAGAGTGCCGCTTTACAAGCATAAAGTCCTGAGTTCAAGCCCAGTACAGCCAAAGTAAAAATAATAATAATAATAATAATATTTGGGGCTGAGGAAGTAGCTCAATGGGAGAATGTCTGCCCAGCATGTGCAAAGCCCTGGGTTCAATTCCCAGCATTACTAAAAAAAATAAAAATAAAAAAATGGTAAAGATAAGTGGCATTAATGTCACTTCAGCCATCTCATAGTGAAAAAACATAGTTTAACCTAGACCAGATCCCTCATTCTTGAAGCGAGGAAACTGAGGCCCAGAACAGTTCAGAGACTTGCCCTCCAGAGTGTCAGGTGTCAATGTAAAATAACAACTTTACAGCAACAACCTAAAAAATAAAATCCTCTTAACTTTCTATAGCATCTTAAGGAAGCTATCAGAAAGCATACCACGATGGACCCAGAGTCACAAGTGAGAGAGGTTCTCCTCAAAGATAAATTTCTAACAGTCAGCCCCAGGTATTCATAAAAAACTCAGACTGTGGCTGAAGGGAAAAAGTCATTGAACCAAGTAATACAGCTAGCCATGTCTGTATTTATGGCTATGTCTGTATGTCCGGGACCTTACTAACAGGAGAGAAAAGGATAAGAGACACCATGGCCTCATTGCTACTCTCAGAGAGGGCCCTACCTGACTGGGGCCTGTATCATGAACTTGCTACCATGGTGGATAGGAGGGGCACTTCTGCAGAGAATGTTTAAGGGGGGACAGCCCAGGAGACGGCCCCACCCCCAACCGGGACCCTGCCCTCTGCAAGGGTAACCACTGGAGGTCTAAATGCTCCTGTTACCAGATGGAAGGTGAGGTGCCACCTCCTATGGATTGATGGGTCCTAGCCTCCTGGCCACACTCCAGTTCTTGGTATCAATGTTGAGGAGCCATTATGGCAGAAAAACAAAAGGTCATTTTCCTCCTAGACAGTGGAGCCCAGTTCTCTGTTTTACCTTTTTCTCCTGGTCCCCAGTCCAATGACAAAAGTTATCATTCAGGGCAAATCTGGCTAGCCCCTAGAGCACTAGTTTACCTGGCCTCTGGCCTGCTCTTGGGGAGATCTCCTCTTCTGTCACTCTTTCCTCATAGTACCTAAAACTCCAGTGTCCCTGCTGGGACAGGATTTACTATCTCAATTAAAAGCTCAAATTCTCCTCCCCCCAGGCAGCTATCTCTGCTGCCTGCTCCTTCAGGGACAAATAGATTCCACAGTGTGGACTGATGAGATGAGTGTAGGGTGAGCCAGGATGGCCCTCCCTATTCAAATAAAACTCAAAAATCCCTCACAGTTTCCACACCCAAAACAATATCCCCTCAAGCCTGAGGGAGGGATGAGGACTTATGCCTATTCCTTAAAGCAACAAGGGGTAATAATTAGTTGCTCCAGCCCCTGCAATAAATTTAAAATTCTTATAAAAGTTAATTTTAAAATACAAGTTACAAAGTAAACAACTGGAAAGGATATAGATAGGTAATAAATGTATTTTTTTGAAAAGTTAAAGGAAAAATAAATGTTTTTGGATAAGAAAGGATTTTGTAAAAAGGGTTTATCCTGAAGATTGTTTCAAATAGGAAGGATAAGGACAAACCATCAAAGGGTTTAGTATGTTGTATGAAGGTCTGAGTAAGTTTGAAAAGTGTATAATAAAAGCTTCAGTGTGTGATAAAGTTAAAGCTGAATATAATCTAAGAGTTGCCTAAAATATTTTTAGGGTCATGTCAAACTAAAATCAAATGCTCTATGTCTATGAAATAACAAGGTTATCTTAATATTGTTCTGCTCTGAGTAACATCTACAAAAAACCATTACAGAGAAAGATTTTATCAAAGAAATTATTTGTGTTTTCTGCTGATCTTGTCAAGCTTTAAGTACTACTAAATCAGAGTTCATTTACATATTTGCCTATGTGTCTCAAATGACCACCTTGTAACAGTGTTATCTGAATATGGTACAAACATTTATATAAATGTCATTTATATATATGTCAATTTATATAAAATAATGAGCTAAAGCTTTCTTTTATCCAAGAGTGTTACATTTAAATCCTGACAGGCCCTGCCTCCCACAGGTCACCTACCTAGGTGTAGCCTTAAAGGGACAGACTCACTCCCTGAGTCACAAATGCATCAACCCAATCTTCCACTTCCCAACCCCCATACCATAAGACAGCTTACAGCTTTCCTGGCAGTTATAGGATTTTGCAGAATTCAGATCCTAGGTATGTAGTCCCTGAACAGACACCTTTTTATGCTCCTCCTAATATTTCTATTTGGGTCTTTGATAATGTATGGCCACCCATTTCTCTCTCTGTAGTTGGAGGACTCTTGAAATTGTCTAGGGAAGAACATTTCACAGTGGTTCTCCTGGCCAATGCCCATCCTAATGCCTGTGTTCTTGCTCTCCTATTCTTAAGCTTCCTCCCTTGTGTCACACTGCATGTCTCTATTGCTAATCAAAAATTTAACCAGTTGTACTTCCAGGGATACCAACCTCTCCAAAACGCGAGGATAGTTGGCTGATACCCACCATGCGTGGTCGGGGTCGGAGGATTGGCTCGAGACTCTTTATGACCTATGGCTACAAGGGACTTTCATCAACTTCAGGGAAGGGGAAATCTTCATTTTCAGAGCCTGGGCATACGCCATCATGAGGCTCAGCAACCCCAACATTGTTTGCCAACTAACCCTCCCTTCCCCTACGCCGCCCCTTGCCAGCTCAAAGAAGCCAGAACAAACACAACGTCCCCCTTCCTTAACAAACAAAAAAGGGAGGAATGCTGGCAATAATGGCGCCGATAGGTTTCAGTTCTTACTGCACCCTTAAGCTCCTGTTTTCCAGGGTCACAGTCCTGCCTCGAGTCTAGCTTGAATCCTCCTTCTGCCCCAACCTCCAATCAGCATGAAACATAAGATCCTAACCAATCAGATCATGCTGAGTCTCACTGAGGGGTATTTAGCCCTTGCCCTTCCTGCTTCTCTCTCTTGGCTCTCTTGGCTCTCTTGGCTCTCTGCCTCTCCCACCCGGCAATAAAGAATCTCTTGGCCAGATCACTCCTCTCCACGTGGTCACTTTTGGGGCCCATATTTCTTTTTTTTTTTTTCCTTTTATTATTCATATATGCATACAAGCCTTGGGTCATTTCTCCCCCCTGCCCCCACCCCCTCCCTTACCACCCACTCCGCCCCCTCCCTCTCCCCCCCCACCCCCTCAATACCCAGCAGAAACTATTTTGCCCTTATTTCTAATTTTGTTGTAGAGAGAGTATAAGCAATAATAGGAAGGAACAAGTGTTTTTGCTGGTTGAGATAAGGATAGCTATACAGGGCATTGACTCACATTGATTTCCTGTGTGTGTGTGTGTTACCTTCTAGGTTAATTCTTTTTGATCTAACCTTTTCTCTAGTTCCTGGTTGGGGCCCACATTTCCAACACAATCCACAAGCCCTGACTGCTGGGCTGTGTACCCACTGCAGCTTGTCTGAGGCATGTACATACCCACCCTTGCCTGGGAGTGGCAGGGCCCTCTGGGAGGCCAAGGGCTTTGCTCAGCCTCCCTAGACTATACCATGTCTAGAATGCTCCCATCCAACCCACCTTCCCTCTCCTTCCCCTGGGTCAGGTATCATTATGGGCTGACAGTTCAGCTCTCCCAACCTGCACCCTCACTCCCTCTTTTCTCCCATGGATGTTTCTCCTTTAAAAATCTTTGTATACTTAGCCAAAAGTCCACATCTGCTTCTCAGAGAACCCAGACTAATACAGTCAGTAATAAGTTTAACAATTTTCTGAGGTTTCCAAATGAGAGTCACTTACATATGATCGTACGAAGATGATCATAAATCCATAGATCATAAGTACAAAGACGAAAACAAACAGCACTCCATTTAGCAAGGTAAAATCCCACTGAGGAAATATAAACAGCACACAAATAACTCCATTAACATCTAGTAGGAATTTCAGGATGTTCAGAGGTGCGTTTTATACCCCGTAGACAGAAACCAGCCATCACTATCAATTGAGAGAATCATGGAAATCCATTAGCCCCAACCACTGAAAACTGCTACACAAAAAGTGTTACATTGGGATTTGCTTCAGGAGGGTGGAAAATGTAGGAGTGTGGATGAAATGATGGGGGCCAGCAGTTGAGAATTTTTTAAGCTGGATAACGGATACATGGGTGTTCATTGAACTAATTTTTATATTTATATGAAATTTCCTATAATAAAATAGGTCGATTGAACAAGTAGGATGTAAATTTGTATTATAATATGATCATAATTATTCACATTTTAAGAACATATGTACAGAAAATATTAATGGAATAAAATATACCAAGATATAAGCTGGGTATCTTTTTCATGTATATATGCATATAATTTATAGTCTTCAATTCTACCAGTTAAGCTATCAAAGGGAGGTATATACATATTTACTAAACTTTCAAAACTTACTATTAATAATTCTTTTGTAATTTCAAAATTTATTAGTGTGAATTATGTTTTTGCCTTTATAGATTAGTGACCCAAATCAACTTGGAGAGATCAGAGGCTCTTTTTTTTTTTTTTTTTTTTTTTTTTAAAGAAAAGGAATATTCATCTAATGACCTGAAAAAAAAAAACTGAATTATACAGCAAAAGAAGAGCCCCGATACCAAAAAGATCTAAGATATTTTCTTACATTTCCCCTCCTGTCCCTACCCTTAACATACCAGGGGAATGATCTAAAGCACTCTTTCCCTACTTCTCAGACCTATAAGTGTCCTGCAGCCCCACCTGGGAAGTACAAATGGCCAAGCCTCTCCCACAGACACTGATGCATGTCCAAGGCTGGGTAACAACATGTTTCAGCAAGCCCCCAGGGAACTGCAATGAACAAGAACCTGGTCTTCAGTCTGCTTGTGACACAGTAGCCATTAGCCACATGCTTTACAGAGCACTTGAAATGTGGCTAGCCCTAATTAAGATGTGTTGTAAGTTTAAAATACACACTGGATTTTAGTTTTAGTTCACAGAGAGAATGAAAACTATTAATAGTTTTGTTATATTAGATTATATGTTGACATGTTAACACTTCATAGATACTGATTTAAATTAAATATATTATTAAAACTAGTTTTCTTCTGTTTCTTTTTACTTGTCAGTGTAGTTACTGTGAAATTTAAAATTATATGTATGGGGTTGGGATCCTGGTTCAAGTGGCTCAAGTATAGTGCCTGCCTAATAAGCACAAGGCCCTGAGCTCAACTTCTCCCTCCACCCCCACTGCAAATAAAATAAAATTCTAAGTATGACTTGGATTTGTGGCTCACATTAAACCCCCTTGAACAGCACAGATCTAGACAGCACAGGGCTCACAACAGTGAAACCCTAAGGCTTGCTTCTCCCTGGCAGGAAAAGGACAACTGGAGTGAGTTTGATTTGGGGAGGAATGCTGTCAGCTTTGACCAGACCCAAGATCAACAGGTCTGAGTCACACCAGGAGTGGACTTTCACCTTTGGAGACCCAGAGAGCACACAGAGAGTCAGGGACACAGAGACCATCATTCAGGAATAGCAATGAGTCATGGCATCTCCAATCCCCATACTGTTCTCGTTGGCCACACCCCCATCTCTCATTCCCAGACCTCACTTCAAAGAGAAAGGCAGGCACAGCAGGAAGCTGAGAGACTGATTATTGTGTATCTTATCACTTGGTCCAAAAGGAACTGTTTCAAGAATGGGATCAGATTAAATTTAAATCAAAAGAACATTTAGTTAATTTTCTCTCTGCTAAATTGATAGTTGGGGTTCATAAGAAAACTCAGACTCATTGCGTGGCTACATTTCCTCTATAGCCCTTAGGTTGTAGTGGGAGTGAATTTTGCACATCACCCCCCATCACATAACTTAATCAGAAAAAAAAAAAAAAAAGTTTAGTTGCCCATGAGTTCAACTGCCTTTTAAAGTCATCTATGCAAATACAGTGACCAGCTTTAAAGTGTTTGTCAACATAATGTCCATTCTCTTCAACTCAGGTCATAGGTGACTATGACTTAAAATACTAGTGGGCTTAAAAAGAAAAAGTAGTCTCACATTTTAGAAAAGTTTAAATAGTTAAATAAATCTGTGCATTCAGCAGTAGCTCACCTCACTTACTGCAGGGAGACAGTAAAATAAATGTAATTAAAATAAATTAAAGTTGAATCCCCAGCTTTTGATACAATTTGATTAAACATTTAATTGCCCCTTCTGCCTCTCAAGCTTCTTCCTTTTTCTACCGAGAGAGGCTAAAATTCTACGTACATATAAAACCTTCCTTATGATGTGTGTCAAACAATGGAAAATATACTCCATTCGATCTGTGTTTTAAAACTGACTGAGGCGAGCTCACCATTTACTAAAAGAAGGTAGCCAGAACTGAAAGACAGTTACTAGAAGTGAGGCAGGCTAGAATGTGGGAAAGTTTGGGACTGGGATTCCTCCCTGACACACCTCAAAAGCTCTTTTGTAATTACAATAAGTTAGAAAGTATGGGAACTTCCTCCCTCATGGGTGGGGCATCTGAAAATTAACATAGGTGTATTGTGGAGTCCGCCCAGCTCCTTCCCTGGCTCAAAGGGAACCAGGTAACATGCCCAGCTCCACTGGCTGGCTCTAAGGTCACTGAGCCTGGTAATGACATGCCCTCACCTGGCTCAGGAACCACCCATACGCTTCCCCACTCATTGATTATTGGATGGGAATCACCTTGTTCTCCTCTTCCCATAGGTCATTGTAGGTTTTAAAAGCACCTGAAGGGCAGAAACATGCTCTCTTGGCTTCCAGCCCCCATTTGGGCCCCAGCATGCTTCCCTTTGTATTTCTCTTCCCTAACTTTTAGTAAACTCCCTTTATAACCACGTGTCCTGCCATGGATTCTTCCCACTGGGATACAAAGAATTTGGAAGTCTTCTGATCACAGATTGCACCAGCACCATTAACAAAAGGACCTCACTACATATTAAGGAGCATCATGGGGCTGGAGAGATTCTGACATCACAGTTAAAAAGGAATAGTGCTGGGCTAGCAGAGTGGCTCAAGTGGTAGAGCACCTGTTTAGCAAGTGTGAGGCCCTGAGTTCAAACCCAAGTACGGCAGCATAAAAACAAAAGAATAGTCCTGATGAGGATGTAGCTCAGTGGTAGAGCCAGTATGCTCAAGGGCCTGGGTTTGATTCCCAGTACCATAAAAAAGAAAAGAAAAAAGGAAAGGAAATTGGGAGAGAAGGAGAAAAGGAGGAGGAGTGGAAGAGAAAAAGAAGGGAAGGAGGGAAAGAAATAGTCCTGAATTATATCCTGGGGATCTTGGCACTTTTGAACTCTGGTGAACTGCACAGCTTTCTGATATTCAAACTCCCTGTATCAGTCAGGGCCCCAGCAGGAAACAGATGGTGAGCTCAAATAGGATGGTTTGAGAAGGGTACAAGTGTCTGCAGGGGAACCAGCAAGAGTGGGTCTAGGCTAGTAGCCAGAGAGCTGTGACCACCTGTATGTCCAAAGGAAAGAGGACAGTGAGCCTGGGAGTTGGACTGTATTGGGTTGTCCCCCTTGACACAGGCAGTGAATTTTTGTAAGAAACATGGCTAACCCAAGAGGAACTTGTTGGGAGGACGCCATGGAAATAAGTGCCTCTCTCTTCCCTCCCAGTCTCCAGCTGGGGCTCTCAATGGTCCTAGCCCACAGAAAGCATACAGGCAAGAGGGCCATAGTGGTGAGGCCCACAGATAGCAAAGTACAGGAGGAGGATATGGAACAGGAGAGACACAGAATGTATCCAGCACACACACATACTCATACCCCTTATGACAGAAAATAATACGCACTTTTGTTTGCAGAGCAAATAAGGTGAGAGCTGATGTCACCAGAGTTGTTGCTGCTGTTGCCCATAGCACTTCCTCGGCCTTATAGAAACTAGAACCAGAAAGTGATTATTCTTCACATTCATTCAGAGAAAAGCACACACAAAGAAAAGGCAATGTGTATTAAAGACTTACACTGATACGGTCCCCAGCAGCAGAGCTTCAAGAAGTGTCTAAAAACAAAATTCATATAAATCAGAAGACTGCTTTTCCAAGCATGAGGCCAGAATCCAGGGGACGTAACTCGGGGTGTTTGAGTTTGGGCAGCATCTAAGAGAGCAAGTGGGGAGTCAGTGTACAAGCCTGAGGCACACAGCTGTAGGGTGGTTATGGGGAACAAATAATACAACTAGCCATTTTTACCACATTCCCCCTAGGACTGACAAGTGAAAATCATTTTTTAGTAGATGTTTCTTAGAACATAAAATCACTTTAACATATTCAGTGAGCTAACTATGTATTAACTATGAATCTGGAAACCAAGATAGAAAGTTCATTTATGAACTTTATCCTTATTAATCAAATGGGGCTATCCATATAGTATCTTAACATTTTATCAGGACAGGGTATGCTAGATTTCCATTAATTCTTCACCCACGCTCTGGTACTGACCTTTCCATAGTACAAGCTGAGTATCTTTCAGACCTGGGATGAGAACTGAGACCTTCTCAGTGCCAGGGGACCAGGGAAAGGGCAATCATCTACAGAGGTGCCAATCTAAGGGGGTGGTTAGGAGAGGGCTGCATTGAAGGATTCCTACCCAATTGGAACTAGGCTGGGGACAGTGTGGGACAGGCAGGGACTGAGAGCCAGTGAGGCCAAAAAGGCAAAAAGGTGTGTCAGGCCCACTGTCAGGCTCAGGATGTCCACAGTCATGGCATGAGGACAAGAGCAAGCCGCACTACAGGATGAAGAAGTTCCCCAGCCCACAGGACACTGTCAGAGCAAATCAGGGACTTGGGAGACACAGTGTTCCATGGGAAGGACCAGGAAAGTATCCTCCAGTCTCAGGGAATGAAAAAGGAGAGCACATACTAACCAAAGTACTAGGACTAGATTGGCTTTGAACTTTTCCAGCTGGCAAATGATGGGCAGGGTCAGAGGCTGGAAAAGAACTGGAGCCCCAGAAGTCTTGGATTGCCTGTCTGGATTTCTAGACCCAATGGGTCTAGAATTCCATGATTCTCTGTCCTGTGAAGTTTACTTAAGTAGGGAGTCTTTATCTCCATTAACGGGATATTTTCTTCCTCTTCTGGCTAAGTTGCTTCATATTTCTCCAGCACATGAAAGAGAGAGAGAGAGAGAGAGAGAGAGAGAGAGAGAGAGAGTGTGTGTGTGTGTGTGTGTGTGTGTGTGTACCTGAGAGAGAATGGGAAGACAGGTAAGAGAGAGGAAGGAATTGATTCCAGGCTGTAAGACACTGTGAAGTCAAATCTGCCTGGTGACTTCAAGAGCTCAAAACAGTGGCTAGAGAAGTCACAATTCTAGGGGACCAAAGCTGTTTGCAGTGAGGGTGTTTCCTGCTTTCTCTCAACTCCTTTTCTGAAATGGCTTTTTCTATATTTTTCCTAACACTTGGGCAAGACATAGAGCCAAGAAAACAGAACTAGTTCTTTGCCCCTCTACGTTGTATCTCTTCATAAGCTGTTACTTGCTTTGAAGTAAAACACCAAAACCGCAGAAGAGCTTCTTTGGAGATCAATAACTTGTATCTTTTTTTATAATAGCACTTAAACCATTTTTAATTTTTAAATTAAAAATTCAAACATTTCTAAAAAACTAAATAGTCCTGCCTCTCTGTCCTTCCCTCTACCCCATTTGCCTCTGCTTCAGGATCCCCGTGTCTTCCTTTGTATGGCTTGTAACCCCAGCTCCACACACCACACCCATTCCACACACACGTGTGCACATAGCACACACAAACACTCCATACACATCCCCACACACCCCCCACACATACACAAATACTCCACACCACACGCACACACACACATACCCCTTTTCGTGTGCTGCTGGTGAACTGTGAAGCAGTTGAGCCAGGAGAAGAGAAAGAAAATACCCTGTGAGGAAGGCTGGAAGCAATTGAATTATGACAACACCATGTGGTCTGTTCCTGGCCTAGGCAATGAGCAGGGCATCCACGCCAGCTGAGAAAGGCTTAATGCAGTTGGCAGCAGACAGCCAGTCTTCAGCCTCAGGAGAAAGCTATTTCTCCCAACATGTAAATCACAGTGAAGTTTGCTTAGTAGAGATGCTGAAATTCACATTTGTCATGTGTCTTTGCTTGCTTTACCAACAGAGGGTGCAGAGTCAACTCTAGGTCAGCACCATTGAGTGTACGGGACTTAGTGTATTTTACACACTAATCTAAGCTATGCTGTTTTCCCCTCCACCAGATTTCACCATCAATTTATCATATCATCTTATATCACAGATGCTTGTATAAGCTACCTCAAATCAATTTGGATCTAAATAAGGAATTAATTGGCAAGTAAATCTTCATAGGCAGAAACAAAAACCCAAATACCAACACTCTCCTGAACCATGCTGGATTTTCCCAAGAGGCATACAACACCCTACCAATTGCAACCAGTGAGCTTTGGAGAGACAAAGGCCTCCAGGAGGTGATGGTTTGGACTGCCTCTGTTACATGACAGTTGAGGTTGGAGAGTGACTCTTAGATACTGCTGAGTCCTTGGGGATGAGCCCAGTGATCTTCCAGAGAACTGAGCCTTGGGATGGAGGTAGAATGATAGAAATTCATATTGTATTCAGGTTTTAAAAAATCTAGATCAGGTGCCTGCTGATAGTGGCAAGATCCTGGGGTCCCCAAGGGCAGAACAAAAAGTAATTGACTGCAAGAAAGGGAGCCCCATGGTTCGGTGTGGCCTTAATCAGTGCTGAATGACAAGAGGGGCAGACGTAATGAGGGCCTTGTGGATGGAAACCACCCTGATGAGTTGTTGGGGAACCAGGAACCAGACTTTGGATAAATGGGGTAAGACAAGGGCCAGAAGCCTCCCCAGGACCCCAACTCTCTGGTACTGGAAAAAAGCCACTGAACTGAGAAGAAAGGTGTGGAACTGGGAGACAACCTGAGCTCAGAGATGGCTTCAGCTCCTAGGAGAACTGGAAAAAGAAATAAAAGGCATTTTACAAAAATAAAGAAAATAACATTTCTAGATCCTGAGTTTGTGAACTAGATGTGAGACCCACTCGCCATAACAAAATGTGTTTATCCTGCCTGGCAGAGGTCCAGTGACAGCTAAGTTAACTGCTGGTGAAATGCAGCCCTAACCTGGGTGTGGGTTCTCTGTGTTTGCCCGCACAACAGAGCAACTCAAATCCTCTAACTCACCAAAATGTGACTACTGTGTTACAACTAGAATTCCTCCAAGACAATGTTTCTCAAGCAGTTTATACCTGTGCTACTCCACAGGAGGCTTTTCCATAACAAAAGCAATAAATTTAATAAGGTGCCAACTGTGTATTTCAGAGGTGAGCTAGAACAGGTACCAGCAGGGTTTACTTACGAAGAATGCCAGGAGGATGTAATTGGCAGGCACCTGACGGCAGAGATTCCCACAGCACGCAAGAATGATCAGTACACAAAAAAATGCTGGTCTGTAGGATAGTGTAAAACCGTATGTTATTTGCTTCCAGTGATGATATCCTATGGTATGTTATATACAGACAAAGAAATAGATGGATATAGGTACAGCTAAATATCATTGTACAAAATTGTTACTTGAACAAAAATGTTACTTCTTTTATCTCTCTCTCTTTTAAAGATAAAAGCTTGTGTGGTGTTTAAAAATGTTCAATTTAAAAATAGAGTTTCACAAAGTTTCAAAGGCAAAGACAGGTCCTGTGAACTCTACACTCAAGTTTCTGCCAATGATTGCAATTATATATTTATAGTAGAATATCAAAACCAGTAGGGTGACATTGAGATAGTGTACTTATGTAGTTATTTGACATAAAACTATGACATGAATCTCTGTGTAGACACATGTAACCACCACAATTAAAATTCAGAATTATGCCATCAACAACATATCAACAGAGTCCCTCCTGATACTACCACTTTATGGTACCACCCCTCCCCACCACACACACCTAATCCTAACTCCTGATGGCACTAATTTGTTTGCTCCCATCTCTATAACTGTTCACTTCTATAACTTTTTTACCTCATTTTAATAGTTAAAAAAGAACTTAGTAGATTGTTAGTAGAAATACCATGTTTTATTAAAGTCGAGGATACTTACAAGAGTGCATAGGTGAACCAGGGGTTTGCAATTACCCACACTTTTAAAGATATCCTGATTAAAAAAACATAGATTTACACAATAAGTAGTATATTTTGGTAATTAATATTAAAGTAGAACCAAAACAATATCATAAGAAGAATAGGGCAAACTCTAAATAATAAGGATAGATGGGATTAAACAATGAAATATTTCTTTTTAAGAGAGAAATAGGGGGCTAGCGGAATGGCTCCAGTGGTACAGTGCCTGCCTAGCAAAAGAGAAAAATAGACAGCTGGTGTAGTTCAGTGTAGCTCAGCTGCTGGTTGACGTGGTATAGTACATGCTTGGTATGCATAAGGCCCTAATTCAAATCCCCAATGCCAGTAAAAAAAAGACACACTTATAAAAAAGATATTTTCTTAAGTAATAAGCCAAAAAGAATTTTTTTGGGGACAGAGCCACACTACATAGCCCAGGCTGGCCTGGAACGCTTACTCCTCCTGCTTCGGCCTCCTAAATACAAAGATTACAGACACGTGTCACCCAGGCCACAGTCAAGTTTAATGCAAACACCTAGTGAAGTTCCTTACTTAAAAAAAAAATACTAAGACTCATGTGTGCAAATTAAAAGAAATCAACTCATATATGTGCTTTGTAAACATAAATTTTCATAGCATGCACTTGAGCAGTGACAGAACAAAAACCCTCAGATAATTTCTGAATTGAACAGTGTTCCAGCCTCCAAGGCCGCCATAATCTCACCTATTTTCCTTTATCCAGTCTTGTCCGTGAAAACAGCTCAGGGAAAATAAAAAAAGAAAATAGTGCTCAAAATAAGTATAAGAAAAATGTTTTAGTGTAAGAAGTGAAGTTCTAGAAACCAGCCCTCACTTTGGTCTAGAAGTTGCTTCAGAAAAACAAACCTATAGAAATATATTATCTAGAAATATATTCTATATATTCAATAATATAGAAACACTGTGTTCTATGAATTGTTGGGGACCAGGAATGAAACATGGACTGGGAAATAACAGAGCTTCCAGAGCCTCTCTGTGGTAGGAGTTTGCACGCTTCTCCTATCATAATTTCCCCAGCACCTGGTGTCTTGACCTTTGTTCTTGCATCTCCTTGAAGAAAACCTGCTGTGTCCACATACCAGCCCCCTGATGCAGAACTAGATGAAGTACCAGAACTGTTTGGAGACTCCCTGATGCCAGATTAATCAATACCTTAGATAAGGTGTCCTGCATGCCTTGATGATTCCAGAACAGATGTGTTGTAATTGAGCTTCTATAGCCTTAGGAAAATCATCCCGCCAAACCTCATTCCTTTTACCTTAGATCTAAGACTTGTTGAAGCTTGATTTTTACCTGAGTCTTTTCCTTGTACTGACCTATAAAATAAACACTCTGGCTCAGATAAGGCATGCACATTTCCCACCAGGAACGTGTAACACTCCTGATTCCAGTTTTCTGTTTTCTGTCAGTGTGTCTATATGTCTGTGTGTTCTTTTATTTCTCATCCCCCGTTGCTCCTAGTCAAGTACACACAGCATACCCACGCAGGTTGTGGGCAAGTGGCATCCAACGTGGGGCCTGACTACAGGAGAACTCATTGGATAAGGCAAGGAATGCTCTCCAGAAGGATGCATCCACAACGAAGATAAGGTAGGGGACAGCGCATATTGAATACAGTCAGGAGCAATAAATATGGGACAAATTGGATCAAAACAAAGAAATCTCTATGTACAGATGCTTAAAACTAGAGGTCTTCAATGTCCAAGATTGCACTGAAAATTAATGTAATTGTTTTGTGTTTTGTTGTGAAAATTTTGTGTATGGCATTGAATGTTTAACTTGTTAGAGACAAAAACCTTATTGGTTTGAGACTGAGACTGACTCAAAACACTATTCCTAAAATTGACTCTTGCCTCAGCTGTTAAGCTGCTCAAAATGAGTCCTAAAAGAACAAGAATGGAACTTCTCAATCTGCTGCTAAAAATTTAAAAAAATAACTGATCTATGTACTTGTGGCCACTTAGTTAATTTTTACATGTTCTTGAGCTCTTAAATCTATATGCACACTTAAATTGACATTTATGGCATTCCTAATTTAAAACCTTTTTTACATATGCATATATTTAAACATCTTTAGGATGATTCTTATTATAAAGTTATTGTAAATAAATACAAGCCTTCTGTTCTCTTCTCTCCCCCACCTCTTCTGTTGGTACTTTTAAGAAAAGCCAGTTTTTCAAAGGTTATGTCAATCAGGTCTAACTAAATTACAGGCATTATTTTATGGACAGTGACCTTAGTCTGTTTCATTTTATCACAAGTAATTTACATTCAATTATTTTATAATTAGATCTATTAATAAATTATGTATTCTTATAAAAGTTATTTTTAAAATACAAATTACAAAGTGAACAAGTAGAAAGGATATAGATAGGTAATAAATGTATTTTGGGGGAAAAGTTAAAGGAAAAAAGGAATGTTTTTGGATGAGAAAGGATTTTGTAATGAAGGGTTTATCCTAAAGATTGTTTCAAATATGGAAAGGAGGGATAAGGACAAGCCATCAGAGGGTTTTAGTATGTTGTATGAAGGTCTGAGTAAGTCTTAAAACATATAATAAAAGCTTTGGTGTGTGATAAAATTAAAATTAACTATAATCTAAGAGTTGCCTAAAATAGTTTTTTTTTAGGGTCATGTCAAACTAAAATCTAATTCTCTGTGTCCGTAAAATAACAAGGCTATCTTAATATTATTCTGCTCTGAGTAATATCTGCAAAAAATTGTTATAGGGAAAGATTTTATCAAAGTAATTCCTTGTGTTTTCTGTTGATCTTGTCAAGCTTAAGTACTACTAAATCAAAGTTCATTTACATATTTGCTCATGCAAAGGCCTTTTAAATGACCACCTTATAACTGTGTTTTGTGTCTATACTTTATTTAAATATGGTACAAACATTTACAAAGTTTAAAGTGTCTGTTTATGTAAAATGATGAGCTAAAGCTCTCTTTTATCCAAAAGTGTTACACTTAACTGACCAGGTAAAGTTCTTTATCCAAAAGCATTACATCTAAACCTTTGACATATAAAATGCTTAATAAAACTTTTGACAGGTGTGCTGTTTATAATCAGTAACATTCAGAAAAACCTTGCCATTTGAGCAATCCTGCTACTTAAAACCTAGCCTATATTAGTTTGAGTCAAATAAGTGTTACTGTATGTGTATAAAAGGTAATTGTACATCAAAAAATAAGACTATTTGGGATTACAGGCATTGGCCCCCTAACTTGAAGAGATCTAAATGCTAGACTTTTACAAGCTTGTGTCCACATGTTCCTAATTGTAACAAAGAACATTAGTGCTGCTGTTTTAATACTATCAGTCATAATTATTTTCCTACAAATACAGTCTGCAGTGAAAATAACTAAACATCTGACAATTTCCAAACTACTTCTCAGTATTTTAACCATGGCTATTCTAAGTCTTTTCATTCTCAGTCTGGGTCCTTCTTCAGAGCATTTTCAATTACCCAGTACCTGTTTTTCAATATTTAGTTTTGTTGGCTTTTTTCAAAACCTTCAACTGTTGTCTGTTGACATTATGCAGCATTTTTAAGTTGTCAGGATATCATCTATAGTCCAGGCAGAACTAAAAATGGATGCCAGGTAAGCCCACTTCTTCTAAACCTCTTTTGTTGCTTATAATTTGGTCAAATGGGTCTTATTGTAACTCCCTTTTCATATTTGGGCCAGCTTATTGAGGGACAGACTATCAGCCCCCCAAAAATAGAAATCCGTAAGGATAATTTAAAAACTTTAAATGATTTTCAAAAATATTAGGTGATATAAATTGGCTACATCCTGCCTTAAAACTTACCACCCTGTGAACTGTCTCCTCTCTTTAAGATCTTATAGGGAGACACTCAACCATCATCTCCTAGATATCTCACACCAGAAGGTCGCATGGCCCTGGCTAAGATTGAACAAGCTATTCATAACTCTCAGAGAACTTGTGTTGATTATTCTCAACCAATACAATGTATTATTTTACCTACTACAAATCTACCTATAGGAGTTCTTTGGCAGTCTCAGAGAGTAATAGAGTGGTTATATTTATCTCACTCCCCTGCTAGGGTCATCACTCCTTACCATAATATGGTAAAAAAAATTAATAGCCATGGAACATTTTCATACTGTACAACTGTTAGGACTAGAACCATCCCTTATTATTGTCCCATTTACCAAGGAACAACAGGCTTGGGTATGGTGTACTGATACCATGTGGAAAATGCATTAGCTAACTTTACAGGACAGCTTGGAGAACATTTGCCTTCCTCTAAACTTCTTAATTTTGCTTCTCAGCATGCTTTTATATTTCCTCACAATATCTGAGAGGATCCCATGCCTCAGGCTCTTGTGATTTTTACTTATGCTTCAAGTTCTGGAAACACTGCTTACTTTTCCTCTCAGGGACAAATGGTTGTACAAACAGGTTTTTCCACTGCTCAGTGTGTGGAACTTCAGGCAGTTATATTGGGCTTGTCAGGACTTTCCTTACTAAAACTGATAATGGCCCAGACTATATATCTACTGCCTTCAAGGCATTTTGTTCCTTCTACCAAATTCTTCATACCACAGGCATACCCTACAATCCACAAGGCTAAGCTATAGTGAAACGAGCTCACCAAACTTTAAAACTTCAATTACAAAAACAACAAGGGGGAGATAGCTCCCCGGCCACTCAAATTAACAAAGCTCTCTTTACTTTAAATTTTTTAATTGCTCTGAATCTGGCTTTAATCCAGCTGAAAAACGTTGGGAACATCTAAATAAACAACATTTGCTACAGGTATTGTGGAAAGGTGTAATGACCAGAGCTTGGCAAGGCCCTTGCCAGGTCTTGTTATGGGGCCGAGGCCATGCTTGTGTTTTTCCTGAAGGTGAAGAAACCCCACCTTTCATGTGGGTACCCTCATGGTTTGTGAAGACCCATGGAACCCATCAGCCATCAGATGCAGAAGCTCCATCTGACAAAGGAGGAGAGGAGCCCAAGCCCGCCAAGAACCAATCCTACAGAGATCCTGCCACTGAAAGCGATAAGGAACCACCCTTACTGGTCCTACAAGAGGCAACATCATCACTTTAACAAACACAATAAAACAACCCGGAGATCTCCCCCCAACCCCATAACTTGGGGCCAAATAAAATGCTTGGTGGATATGGCCAAGAATGCCATTAAGGGGTGGGGACAGGAAAAAACTCCTGCTGTTCTTCTGCTAGCTATCATTACCATCATTAGTCAGCAGGTGAAAACTGCAGAAACCCAGAACTTAGTATATTGGGCTTTTGTGCCTTATCCACCTCTGCTTCATGTGGTTATCTGGAAAAGTCCATCTATATCAGTTTTTACTAATGACTCTGAGCTGGTAGGAGGTCACTCCAATGGACACCTGGTTCCTACTTTCATTAATTATAGTCTTATAGGACAAGCTGTTGCTTTACCCATATGTTTATGAAATTTGCCTTATTGGCTCCCTCTCACATCTATTTGGAAAAGTGCTCTGTTATGGAATGGTACTCAGTTTCTTGATAAACAACTAGAATTTTTCAGCTTTAATGTCACTGAGCCATATAATGCTACACACTGGCCTCACACTCCCTGCTGTCATGACAAACGCAATCCCTGGCACCTCCATAAGGGAACCTCATGGGAACAATGTATATTTGCTTCTCCAATGGCTGTTTATGTTACAGGCTACAAGCTTGGATATTGGTCTTATAATGGCACTTCTGAAACTAATATTATGGGGTATTGGACCACCCCTCTGGTGGGACCAGACGGAGGAACAATTCAATCAGATACATGGAAGCTCAGAGCTGCTACTGCTAATATCAATCTAACTAGCCATTCAGGCAGCTCTGTTATTAAAGGCTTGCAAGCTTGTGTTCAACATCCTTTTGCTTCATTGGCTGGATCAATTAACATCTCTAAAAATAGAACTATTTTTTATATCTCTTGTTCTAATTGTAATTTAACCTCATGTGCAGACAATTACATAAATGGCAGCCTACTTATAGTAAAACAAAGCCTCTATATTTTGGTACTGACAAATTTCACGGGACCATGGTATCATGATAGGGGACTACAGGTTGTCAAAGAAATAAAATCACTATTCGTAAGAGAGAAAGATTTGTAGGGCTCTTGAAAGCAGGCATTGTGGCAGCCATCACTGCTATTGCCACCATGGCTACTGCTGCAGTGGCCCTCACCCAAAGCATTAAAAATGCTCATTACATTAATACCTTACCACAAATGTCAGTTATGCCTTTCAACAACAAGTTGCTATAGATGAAAATATTGATATCCACTTAAACTCTCTAGAAGCTGCTTTGCTGGCTATGGGAGATGAAGTTCAAATGCTAAAATTCCATCAGGATTTACTGTGCCGTGCAGTCTTCCAACATATTTGTGTCACTGTAGCACCTACAATGCCACAGACTTCCCATGGAAACTCGTTAAACACACGTCATGGGAGCCTGGGAAAATAACAGTGATTCCCTTCGCCTACAAGACTTAAGACAGCAAATCTTAGCCATGGGGCGAGCACACGATCAGGTGGCTGCTCCTGCAGATAGAGCAAAAACTATGTTGCATGAATTACAAGGATTTAACCCTTTAAACACTCTGAAATATTCCTTCTGGTAGTTCATTGACATCACATTGCTAATAATTTGTTGTTTTTGCTTACTTTCAGTCGGAGCTCGAAAGTTCAAAAGGCGACTCCTCAGATTAGATACAAATGCATCATGAGCTTTTAAGAAATAGATTAGGGGGAGATGTTGGGACCAGACATGAACCCTGGACTAGGAAATAATGGAGTTTGCACAGCCTCTCCATGTAGATAGAAGTTTGCACAGCCTCTTCTACCATAATTTCCCCAGCACCTGATGTCTTGACCTTTGTTCTCAAATCTCCTTGAAGAAAACAACCTGCTGTGACCACATACCAGCCCCCTGATGCAAAACTAGATAAAGTACCAGAACTGTTAGGAGACTCCCTGATGCCAGATTAATCAATACCTTAGATAAGGTGTCCTGCATGCCTTGATGATTCCAGAACAGATGTGTTGTAATTGAGCTTCTATAGCCTTAGGAAAATCATCCCACCAAACCTCATTCCTTTTACCTTAGATCTAAGACTTGTTGAAGCTTGATTTTTACCTGAGTCTTTTCCTTGTACTGACCTATAAAATAAACACTCTGTCTTAAGTAGGCGCTCAAGTTTCCCATCAGGAATGTGTAGCCCTCCAGATCCCAGTTTTCTGTTTTCTGTCAGTGTGTCTATATGTCTGTGTGTTCTCTTTTATTTCTCATTCCCCATTGCTCCTAGTCAGGTTCATGCAGCATACCCACACAGGTTGCAGGCAATGAATGATTAACAAAAAATATACACTTTCCTAAATGAGCAAAGTTAAAGCAAGCTGATTCAATGAGAATTAATGTGAACAACTCAACACTTAATTCTATCTCAGTAATAAAGACTTACCAGAAAATAAACATGCTGATGATTGCAGCAGTGACTAGCAACTGAACCGACAGGATGAGGAACACTTTTACAATGAAAGCTGAGGAAACAGAAGCATTTTTACAACACAATACTCAAAAGTGAAGCTATATATGTAATTATCTATCTTTGGTACTTAATGAAAGGAATTTTCCCTTTTTTTTTTTTTTGGCAATGCTGGTTTATAGTCAGCAAATGGAATAATAACAAAAGTACAACTCTGCAGAACTTTTAATGAATATTCAATCAGAGCTGGGCATAGTGGCACATTCCTGTAGTCCCAAATACTCAGAAGGCTGAGGCAGGAGGATAGCTTAAGACCAGGAGTTTGAGACCAAAGCTGGTAACATAGACTCTCTATCCCAAAAACAAAAAGAATAAACTAACAAAAGAATATTCAATCTGACTGTTAAAGGTGTTTATTTGGAGACCTTAAGGTTTACCCATGGAAGCCCCAAGATTTCAAATACCAACTGAGGGATTTAATTCCTTATGAGGCACACCCCACCCTCCTTAAAACCAAAAATGCTCTGAAAGCCGCAGGATGTGGTGAGCCATCATGAGGGATCCAGCTACGTCTTGCTCACAAGGGGCAACGGCAAAGCCTTGGGAGGACCGAAGAATTCTAAGCAGACAATTCACAGAGCACAGCGCACAGAATGCTGGCATCTCTTAGTTTAGTTCCTACTGCACAGATTTTCCTGGGCCTCTCTGATTATGGTACTGGCAATGACAATGTCCTTTTAAGTGTGGCTTTGTTCCAATTTAAAAAAGAAAAAAATGAAATACTGCTGCTTAAAGTTAACATATAGGAGAGTCAACTCTATTCTTTTACCAGTCAGTTTTTGTGCATAGGAAGTATGATAACAAAAAAGTGGGACTGAACCTTCTCAATCAGAATCCTGAACATATGTAACAGATGTGTGCTGCCTACATTAAAATATTAATTTAGCTAACATTAATTTGGCATTACTGTGTAGCAGGAAGTGTGAGGGAATAAATATTAAAGGCATCCAGACTCATACAGACCAATGGAACACTTGAGAATCCAGAGATTAAATCCCTAGTTTTTATAGTCAATTGATTTTTTAACAAATATGTCAGAACGATCCAAATGGAGGGAGAGAATAGTTTTTTCAACACATGGTGCTGGCACCTTTGGAAATACACATGCTAAAGGATGGTTGTGGACCCTTTCCTCATTTCATGCACAAAAATTAATTAAAAGTGGGTTGCAGACATAAATATAAGAAATAAAACTCTTGGAAGAAAGCATATGTGTAAATCTTTGTGAGCATTGATTCGGTAATGATTTCTTAGATATGATACCTAAAGCCATAAAAGAAAAAAAATTGGACTTCATCAAAGTAAAAGTTTTGTGCTTTAAATAGCATCATCAAGAAAATGAAAGAAACTTCACAAAGGGTTTTCTGATAAGGGACTTCTGATTAGAGACTTATATCCAGAATACAAAAAGAACTCTTACTTCAATAACAAGAAAACAGCACAACTAAATATGGGCAAAGTCTGAGTCATAATCTCTTACGTTGAATCTGCTTGGTCACATGACTTGCCTTGGCCAATGACACATTTGCATTTGTGGTACAAGCAGAGGCTTGAAAAGCTGAGGGTACATTGGGGCTTGTCCACAAGGAACCCAGACAGGTACCGTACCTTGAGACCAATGTAGTGAGAAACTCAGAAGACAGCCAGCAGTCAACACTGCCTGCCAGCCATGCCAGGGGGACATAGGGCCACAGTACAACTACAACTGTGTGAGGGCTCCCACCCAGACCAGGACAAGAATTCCCAACTGAGGCCAGCGGACCCATGGAATGATGGGAAATAATAAAACGGTTGCTATTCTTCTTTAAAAAAAAGTGGGCAAAGGACTTAAGTATTCTCCAAAGAAGACATAGAGATGGCCAATAAGCATGTGAAAAGGATATCTACACTACTAGTCACTAGAAAAATGCAAATCAAAACTACAATGGGATACTACTTCACACACACTAGAATGGCTGTAATCACAAAGACAGAAAAGAACAAATGCTGACATTCCACATAGGTGTTCCCTTAAAAAATTATAGTCTTCAGCTCTGGGCATGGTGGTACCTGCTTATAATTTCAACTACTCGGGAAGTATACGTACGAGGATCTCAGTTCAAGGCTGGCCATGGGCGAAAGTGGGAGACCCTACCTGAAAAATAACTAAAGCAAAAAGGTCTGGTGTCATGGCTCAAGTGGTAGAGCATCTGCCTAGCAAGTGTGAGGCCTTGAGTTCAAACCCCAATACTGCCAAAAAAAAGTTTCTTTTAGTCCTAATATTCAAAACTCTTAATCCATTACCCTGCTGTTATTTCCCTTTTGTTCCATGGCACTCCATCCTCTTCTTCTTTTCTATTCTTTAAGTAAAAATAATAGTAAAATTTATTAAGAAAGAAATTTATTATAATAGGATAAAAGTGGGGAAAAATGGAAAAAAAGGGAGAAATGTTTCCTGCTCCCACTCAGGAAGTGGGGGCAAAGACTACTCCATCTTCTTATATGCTACACAACTTACAAAGATCAGAGAGGGCACAGCCTCTGCCATCCAGAAGTGAATACAAATAGCTAACTCTAACATGGTGAAGAGACTTTTACCTATTTTTCATTCTACTCTCTTAGGCCTCATTTCCACATCTCTTAAATGGCAATATTTCATTTACAGGGTTGTTGTAGGGATGAAATGCAGAGCCATGTCCCTTGCATGGCACCAGAGATGATTGGTTGCTCAGTGCCATTCACTGGCCCTAGCTTCTTCACTCTCTGACCCAGACCTTACCTTGGGCCCAGGCAGTGGGCCCAAAGGTACAGACAGAGTAGCTGTGCAATTTAGATACGATCAATGACGTGCTGGTGAAACTCTTGGGTGCAGTTTCTGGAGCAGCCTCTGAAAAGAGGTCAGGTTTGCTGATTCTCAGGACACCTCTTCCATGCATGGGCCCCTTAGAATTGTCATTTCAGCTTCCCTCTCTTGGCTTTTCTTTGTCTTTAGCCCTTTTCATTTTCCTTTCACTCTCTGACAGGCTAGAGTTCCCAGAGACATCTTTCTAATTACAGGATAGAGGGTGAGGGCCACAGGGAGGCAGGACTAGAATTTGAAGTTCACAGTTCTCCTGAAAGCTTCCAGACCCTAATAACCTGTGGCATAAGCATTAAACTGACTACCTTTGAATACCATATTTCATGAGAGAAAATATCTCATTTATTTAAGCCCCAGTTTTTCTTTTTTGGTGGGATTGGGCTTGAACTCAAGGCTTTGTGCTTGCAAAGCAGGTGCTGTACCGCTTGAATAACATCTCCAGGCCATTTTGCCCTGGTTATTTTGGAGATGGGGGTCTCATGAACTATTTGCCCGTCTGGCCTTGAACAGCAATCCTCCCCATCTCAGCCTCCCAAGTAGCTAGAACTACAGGTGTGAGCCACTGGTGCCTGGCTAAGCCTTAGTTTTTTAGGTTTCTATTATTCACTGCTGAATGTATTCCTGACATACAGAATTAACATCTAGGATGCTGAATTAATATTTTTAAAAACTTAAGCCAATTTTATGCTATCACATTGTGTGTAGGTGAGAATATTTTATAGCCAATGACTAATTTGTATTTCCTAAAATTAATCCAAGAGTTTTCACCATGGTTTGTTACGAATTTCTGAATATCCCAGACAACTTTGGAGTAGTATATTATAGAAACCTTACATCACATTCATGAGAAAACCACGAAAGACAATGAAGTCTTTCCAACAATCCACATCACAGAACATCACACAGACAACGTTTGCTCCTCTCTCCTAAACAAGGCAATTTCTTCATTCTCACCTCGGCGGATGAGTCTGTCTGAAAATGGACCGGTTGCGTTTTCACGACTCTCATTTGGGGTTATCTCCTCTGTAATTTGTACCACATAGCTATTTCCTTGCTTGGTAGCCTTTACGTGTGGATTCTCTTTAGTTTCTCCTGGCCCGGCAGTATGTGAGGATCTGTAGGGCTGACTTGATTGCTGATCATCTTTATCTGCTGCTTTCCGAGCCAGATGTTGGTGATCTCCAGAACTAAAGTCTATGGGCTCAATGATCTCCAAATCCACTTTCCTGGAGGAGAAAACCAGTTATTCATGTCCGTATGCTCACACCTCTTCCACCTTAATATCCTCAGAGCATTCAGGGGATTGTTCCCTAATTTTAACTGCTTTGGCTCAGTGTTTACCAAGTTGGTCTTAATAAATATTTGTCAAATGAATGATAAACAAAATACTTATAAGATGAGGCCTTTAGGGTAAAATAACTCACAGCCTACATTGGAATTAACATTTTAATAAATTTATTAAGCAAGGATGAACTTTCATCCTCATCCCTGTCCTCAAAGAGCTTACACTTTGGAAAGGAAGGCAATGAGACAAGAAGTAATATGAGAGGCAATATAAGTAGGCCAGGAACATAAGAGGATTATAGGAGAACCCTCTACGTCATCTGCAGGAACAGGCAGGGAGAAGGGGTTTTCAAAATCTGCCAGAGAAGCTGGAAGCTGAGGAGGGGTTAGTCAAGTGAAGAGCTGGGGAAAGGTTTTCCCAAGCAGAGAAACAAGCCTAGAAGGGGACCAGAGAAAGCAGAGAGAACAGGTCCCAGAAACTGAAAGAAGGTCATGTGCTAGACTAGTGAGCTTGAGAGTGTAATGAAGTTAAAGGTGGGGTGGGGTGGGAGGAGATATGACAACTTAAGGAGACTGGACTTCATCCTGAAGGTCATGGGTATGACAGGCAGAATAAGTCTCCTGATGATGTCCACATCCTAATCCTTGGAACCTGTGAATGTTACCTTGCCCATCGTACTGCAAGTGTCATTAAGGACATTGAGATGGGGAGGATCTTGAACCCAGTCAAATCACAAGGGTTCTTATGATTATACGTAAAACAGGAGAGACAGAGTTAGAGGATGTGACAATAGAGTGATACAAGTGTTGTCTTTGAAGCTGAAGGAAGGGGCCAGTAGCCAAGAAATGCAGGTGGCCTCTGGAAGCTGACAAAGGTAAGGAAATGGATTTCACCCTAGAGTCTCCAGAAAAGAATGAAGCCTTGTTGGTACCTTGATTTTAGCCCAGTGAATGGATTGTAGACTTCTGACCTACAGAACTATAAGATGACAGATGTGTTCTTTTAAGGCATGACATTTGTGGTGATTTATAATAGCAGCAATAGGAAATCAATGCAATGGGTAGTCGCTGAAGGGTTCAAGCAGAGAACCTTGGGAATCTGACTAGAGACCACTTTAGAGACAGTGTGGAGAATGGGCCAGAGTGGAAGCAAACAGACCAGAAGTATAGACAAGAGAGGAATGTGGGCTTTGCCACAGTGCTTTGCAGTCAGAACACAGTTCTTAGAAAACCACTAGATGGACAACAGTGTCAAAGGAAAAGTCCCCCAGTCATCTCACGGGGAGTATGAAGACTCAGGTAAGGATCCTGTTTTAAGTCTCTGCTAGCTACAGAGAGCCTTGGAGGAGTTTGAGGAGATCACTGAGAAGCAAAGTCTTGGACAAACTGAAAGCCAAGTGGAAATGGTGTAAAGTGTAGCAAAATACCAGGCCCCTGGAGAAGCAGGTATGGTGTGATGAAGATCTTCTTGCCTGTAATCCTAACTACTTGGGAGGCTGAGATCAGGAGGATTGTAGTTTGAGGCCAGTCTGGGCAAATAATTCCTGAGACCTCCCCATCTCCAGTATAACCAGATCATAATGGACTGGAGGTTTGGCTAAAGGGATAGAGCACCTGTTTTGCAAGCACAAAGCCCTGAGTTCAAACCTCAGTCCCATTAAAAAAAAAAAGATGTCTCTAAACTTTGCAAGATTCAGTGTGATTATTTTTAGCACTTGAAACAATAACTCCAAAGTTAATCAGAAAGAGAAAACGTAGAGAATAAGCAAAAAAAAATTTGGACGAGAAGCACTATGAGGGAAGCAGAAGTGACTTACTTTATCAGATATCAAAATATCATAAAGCTCTATGATCAAAACTATGCTACTAGTGTAGCAACAGATAAATGGATAATGCGATGGGAGATGGAAGAAATTCAAGGAACAAATGGATATATATGTGTATATACACAAATATATGAGAGCTTAATGTTTGATAAAGGGGGGATTTCAAATTATTGCCCCACAGTGTTAGAACAATTACCAATACTTGGAAAGCAAAATAAAGTTTAACAGCTATTTTATATATCATGCAAAAATGTATTCCAGCTGGGTGCTGGTGGCTCACACCTGTAACCCTAGCTACTCAGGAGGCAGAGATCAGGAGGATTAAAGTTCAAAGCCAGACTAGGCCAATAATTCGTGAGACCCTATTTTGAAAACACCCAACACAAAAACAGGGCTGGCAGAGCAGTTTAAGTAGTAGAGCACCTGTCTAGCAAATGTGAGGCCAAAAAACTAAAAAGCAAAAAACAAGTATTCCAGATAAATTAAAAACATTATCATGTATAATTACTGCCATATTCTATCAGAAATCACAAGGAATATTTATGTAAGTCTTTGTAAGAATGATACCATAAAAGAAATAAACACTTGGCAGATGGGGGGTACAGGAACACTTTTGATGCTATTACATAAAGGTGCCAACAAATCTGTAGTGCAAAATGGTAGAAATAATATTTGTAATGTTTACTACACTATAGAAAGGGCTTTAACAAGGAAAATATTGGCAACCCAATAAAAAAATGAGAAAAGAACATAAACAGGCAATTTATAAAGAAAATTTAAATGGCCATTAAATTTAGGTGATTGTGCCTCACAGCCAATCAAAGAATAATAAGTAGAAACATAGTGAAATGTCTTTTTTTTGCATAAAAGATGGGCAAAGATTAAAAAGATAATTCTCAGAGTTGCAAGAATATAAGGAAATAGATAATCCAGGGCCACATTAGGATTTGCATGAGGCCTACACATGCTTGCCCTCATTGAGCTCCCAACTCCACAAAAATTAAGTATATGTTAATTTAAATAATTATAAAAATTAAACATATTTTTAAAAATCACCTTTTATGACTGTATTGCTACAAAGATGAATATAAATCAATCTGGATAAATTATACATCAGATATTCACTATTATATTCATTTTTCCTCTGATTTTAAATCAAATTAAAATATTTTCATGGCCTCCATAACAATGAAGGGCCATATGCTCTGACCCTACTGTGCCTACTGGACAAGTTGGCCCTGGGGTGGCCTCATCACAGTGTGAACTTGGGAGGAGCAATTTTGCAGCATCTATCAGAATTCAAAATGTGCACTGCTGTAGACACCACAGTTACGTGTTTGGGAATTTATCTCATAAACATACTTATACCAATAGGCAAAGATACATATAAAAGGAAGTTCATTGCATCATTCACTGCTTATAACTGCAAGAAATTCACAACATCTAGTATCTTCAGGGGAGTGGCTAACTTTACTTTGGCACAGGAAAAGGCAGATGAGAGTAGGTGTGGAAAGTTTACTGTGATATACTTTTATAAAGTAATATTAGAAAATAATATTTAATAAGATTGCAGTAATATTTACACACACACACACAGGGACTTCAAACTGCAGGTGATTATCTTTGACGCAGCAAAGTTGGGGATCCCATGCTGAATGACATGACTTTTTACAATGACTATTCCCTATAATAATAATAAATATATTTACATTTTGAAGAAGAAGGAAATATATCTCTGTCTCTGATAAACCCTGGCGCTCCTCTGAGAGAGTAGCCTTCACACAAAGCTGTGTGGGGTTGAGAGATGTTCAAATAACCAAGTTGGCTTCTTCCCTAGTGTCCTGCAAATCAGAGGAAGGAAGATTTCAAAGCACTAAAAAACAAAAGCAAGCAAGGACTAGAGGCAACTGAGTTTGACATTCGGCTGGTGTCAGAATCACAAAATGAGATTTTCACCTGGTCCCCAGAAAGTTCTCCCAGCTCCAAAGCAGGTAGTCATCCAAAGCAGGTGCTGGGCTGGAAAGTAAAGTTCTGAGCGACAGTTACGGGAGTGGCAGTTGGAGCGTGGGCTGGGCTGAGTACCCTGCTGCCTGGGAGAGGGACTCTTGGTCAAGTCCAAGGTGCCCGGCTGAGTGCTAACCAATGCACTCTGCTGGGTCTCAGGGAGGCCTATATCCCAGTCTCCAAACCAACTCCAAGCACGCTCCATCCAGGAGGAAGCTGTGCTCCAACCAGGCCAACATTTTTCTCAGTAAAAGGAAGGCATTCATGAAACTCCAATGCACAGAGACCCTGTGCAGTTATTTCACATAAGTAAGACTCATTTTTAATAAAGTAGACACTGATCTTTCTCACGGATGATGATGATTTTAGTGCCCCCTCCCCATAGTATAGGGCCCTATGTTGAGGGGCCTGAGTCAGGATGATCAGTGAGAGAAGAGAGGTAACTAGACAGGGAATAACTCGCATGAAATCTGCTTCTCCCTGGGATTTCTAGTCAGGGAGGGGAGTGGGAAGCAATTTGTTGCTGAGAAATAGCTGTTAAAGTGCTTATTAGTGCATGTGTACTATGCAAGGAGTAAGGCAGTGGAAAAAGCACAAAGGGTATCTCCTCCCTCTACAGCTGGAGGAGACACGTGTACAAAAGTGCACACCTAAGGCGGGAGGAGGGGAGATCCGCAGAAAGGAACAGGTATTTAGAGTTAGCGGACTGGAGGTGTAATTTCTGTCATTGGTCTAGTTGGCTCTTCAGAGATGGTTAGGGTCAGATGGGAAGGGTTGGGCAGAAGCAAGAGAACACCCTGAGCCAAGGCACAAGGCTGGGAGCATACCCTACACATACCCCCACAGATAGTTCATGAACTTGTAACACAAAAAGTGCAGAAGGTACACCTGCAGTGGAAGACAGATGTCATATTGCTCCTTCTGAGAACAGAAAAGAAAAGATCATTAAGAATACCTGTTGGGCTCTCTTCCCTTGAACCTTCTCACAGCTCATTTGTTCTCTGTCCATTTCTCTCTCTCTCTCTCTCTCTCAATCTCTTGTTTGTTGAATGTTGACACACAACTTGAGGTGACTGCATTTTCCCAAAAATGTACTTGATATGATTTACATGACTTCATGTCAGAGTTATAACTAATGATAGCCACCAATTTGGTCAAAAGAAATACTTCCTGCTCCTCCTCCTCCTTTCCTACCAGCATCATATATTTGACATTAACTAGGCATTTGATAGTTTACAAAAGTAATAGCTGTTTACAGCCTCACATGTATTAATTCAGTTAATCCTCGTGTCAATTCTGAGTTATCTAGTTTCCCTCATTTGACAGGCGAGTGAACCAAATGGAGACCTAGTGACAGTGCCCCTCCCACCCCCCTGAAAAATATAGGGCAAGGGTATAAGTGCAAGAAAAACTCCATCCATAGTTAAGAGATAAAAGGTGGTGATGCATTTGATGTACCAAATTTTTCTAGTCTTAAGTTAATGAACCATCCAACACTTAAATCATGCAAATTAGGTCACAGCTAACACTGACAATCCCCTGAGGAACCCAGCTTCATTCTTTTCCCACAGTGTGAACTTTTAACATCTTGGGAGGCATTTGTATCTGTCTTCAGTTTACACACACACACCATCAGCACAATTTTCTCAGTCCACAGGTACCAAATTGTCTCTGTGTGCTCCAGTTGAACCCTTTCTCTGGCTCCAGGGTATTTCTCGCTGTGTCCTATGGTCTGAATGTGTTCCCCAAATTCATGTGTTGATGCTTAATCACGAATGTAATAGTACTAAGAGGTGGACCCCTTAGGAAAGATGAAGTTGTGAGGGATTACCAACCTCTACAAAGGCTGGAGGAACTAGTGACCATTCCCTTTTGCACTTCCATCATGTTAGGACGGCTACTCAGCCACTCATGAGGAATGAGCCCTCACCAGACACCAAATCTGCTGCTGTCTTATCTTGGACTTCCCAGCCTCCAGAATCATAAGTAAATTCCTGTTCCTTATAAATTACCCAGTCTCAGGTAATTTGTTATAGCAACAAAAACGGACTAAGATATTGTGTCAGTCTCAGATTCCCTCCTTTGGCACCTCAGGGAGTCATGGCCTGGCTTATTGCAGCTCATGGTCTTCCAGAAGCACCAGCTGAGGGAGCAGAGTACTGTATCTTTCATTGATGTCACTTTCTTGAATTCTTTTTCCTACCCTTTCCCTTATCTCTTGCTTTGACCTTCCAGTCATCTTCTCTGCCTCATGGTCCTTATTTGTCCTCACAGTACATGCACAAGAGTTTTGTGATACTATATCTACTGCTGTTTGGAGAAGTCCCCACTTATTGAATTAGCACTATGTGCCAAGCACAGTAACTGGTGACAGTTTCACAGGCACTGAGCTGGGCAGGATCACCCTCAATTTATAGGCAAAGACCTGAGTTCAGAGAGGAGATCCAGCTTCCATTCCCTAAACCAGGTCTTGTCCACTGTGGATTTTGCTTCTAGCTTGGAAAGGGATGTTTAGGGTAAGAAAAGTCTCTTTCCCATTTGATACTTTTTCCTCTTTTTATTTTTAAAAATACAAGTAATGCATGCATGTGTTGAAAAAAATGTCAAATACACAAGGGTGCAAAAATTCAAAATCCCCCCTATGGGAGTAATTTGGAACTGAGGAAGAGATACTAATGAGAAGCATGGGATTTAATGCCTAGGTCCCTCACAGAGTGTACTATAGGGTGAGAAAAATTTCCTTCTGTCCCCTTAGATTCTGTGGTTGGGCCTGAGAATTAAACTAACATGAGCCAGGTTAACAGGAGAAAAGCATGCATGCTTTATTTAATATTTGTATATGCATAGGAGCCTTTTTAAGAGAAAGGGCAGGGGATATAGCTCAGTAGTAGAGTGCTTGCTTAGCCTGTGTGAGGCCTTGAGTCTGATCCCCAGCAGTGAAAAAAAAAAAAAATGAAGATGAGTAGAAGCTGTCAGGCTCCAAAGCTTATACGCCCTTTTGAACAATGAATGATTAATTGTGGGAATGTGACAAAAGAGCTTGGGCTAAGGATGATAAATTGTGGGAAAGTACAGAAAACATAGGGGCACACTGACGGAAGATAAGGGTTCCAAATTTTCATAATGTTTGATTGTAGTTTCATCTTGGCATCAAGAGGAATGCAGGCACAGTTTGTGCCTCTTGGCACAGTTTGGGCACATTTCACAAGGCAAATTTCATGTCCTGCTCAGGCAGAAAGTGGAAGGTCAAAGAGAGTTCTCTGCATCTTCTTGTTACTCCACTGCTTTCAGTTCAAAAGAACTAATACTCCAAAGTGGCCTATTTTGGGATGGCTTGCTCTGAACCCCTTCAGCATTGCTCTAAAATGAGACTATACTGTTTACCCATTCTCCTCAGTCACTTTTACTGTAGGTCTTTCATAACAGTCCTGGGAAGTTATTTTGCTTTACTGTAGGGGAAACCTACACATATAGCAGTGGTGACTGAGCTACTGCCCTTTGTGTCCTAAGCCCTGCTCTGCCCAGAAGTGGTGCCCAGAGAATGGCTGTGATGAAAGTCAGTCCAAACCGCAATCACCAGTTAACAATAAAATTAGGGATATCTGTTCCAAGGTCGTCATAAGCACTAAAGAAGATGTGACATCATATGCATTTAATACGTTTCTTCTTCCCCCAACATATTCACCAAGAACTCTCCGAGGATGCCAGTCTAGAAACTTCCCCTCCATCACGAAGAGTGGTATGCAACCGTTGCTCCACCAAGACTCCTCTCCCTGGAGAGGCCTGTAAGAACTAGGGGCATTAACGGAGGCCATTTGGCTTCTCATCACGGCTTGGCCTAGGACAGCTGTTTGTTCTAGAGTGTGATCCTAGGACTGCCGGGTCTCAAGATCTTCTCAGGAAATCGCGCGGTCAGAGCGGTTTACCTTTGTTCAGTCAGTCATTTGCCGTTCCACTCCCATTTGCTCAGTGGGATACCGTCCAGAGGCTATAGGACAGACAATGGCACCTCACCCAACACCTGATGTGTGCTTGATGTCTCAGCTCTAACTTCCATGGACATAACCCACATAAACAGAAGTACTGAGGGGAGGATTCCAAACTGTAATTAACAGTACAAAGTGGTCCTGGGTAAGATTGCTATAATTAGCAAAAAAAAGTACAAGATGGTCAGTTAGATGTGAATTTCAGTTAACGATTACTGCACGGGATACTCATACTTTCGCTCTTTATCTGAAATTTGCATTTAACTGGGCACCCTGTATTTTACCTGGCAAGTCTAGTCCTTAGATCGAAAAGTTTGAGAATCGTTCACCTAGACGACAGTCAGCTGAACCGCAGTGAGAGCCAAGCCATTCCCACAGCGGCACTTCCGGACTGGGGGTTGGGCTACGGGCGCAGGCCCCGCCCACTTCCGGAAGCCTTCATAGGTTGCGTTCGGGGCCGCCCCACCTCCGACGCCTGGGCGGTTCCGGGCTGGTGCTGGGTCCCGGGCTGGTGCTGGGTCCCGGGCTGGTGCTGGGTCCCGGGCGGGCGGAGTCCGTTTCCCGCCTCCTGGGGGCAGGGGCTGTGTCCCGGTCCCTGCGCCGAGGGCTCAGCATCCTGGCTCTCGCCTTGCCTTTACCATTCTTCCTGTCGCCGGGGTGGCGGGCCGGCCAGCTGGCGGCCGGGACAGACGACCGCCATTCCCGTGTCGCTGCGCCCGCGGGGGCCGCCCGAGCCGGCCACCATGCCGCTGGGCCTGAAGCCCACCTGCAGCGTCTGCAAGACCACATCGTCCTCCATGTGGAAGAAGGGCCCGCAGGGGGAGATCCTCTGTCACCACTGCACCGGCCGGGGCGGCGCGAGCGGCGGGGGCGCCGGCTCGGGGGCGGCCGTCGGGACAGGGGGCGGCGGCGGTGGCGGCGGCGGCTTGGGCGCGGCGACCTTCGCCAGCACCTCGGCCGCGCCTCCGCAGAGCAATGGGGGCGGGGGCGGCAAGCAGGTGAGCGCCCCTCACCCCCGCGATCATTCCCTCCGTTACTTAGCGTGGGGAATTCAGAGTAGAAAGGAGCAAGATCGTTACCGCCCTTCAGAAATTCTCCCATTGTAGTGGTAGGTTGGGTGGCACCCTGACATCTCAATATACTCACGCTTACCCAGTCGGAAACGGTCAAACCACGGAGGTTGTAGGCCCTGGTCCTTGTCATTATATCATGTTATTAATACGATTATCATGCCATTTAAAATGACAGCACACGTATTCCTTTGGCCCTGGGGAGTTGAATGCAACAAATGAATAGCTCCTGCCTTGGCCCGCATTTCTATTCCTGTCCCCTCTCCTGTTGTAAGCCACTCCCACCTTTTGGGAGATGTCTGTTTGCCTGGGCCTTCCTTCCCTGTCTTAGCCCTTAATTTTTAAGTACCTTTGCAAAGTGTATATATACTCTTATCCGTGTAAGATGGTTGTATTTTGACAGCAACCGTTCTACAGTTTTTGTTTCTCTTTTTGTTCTTTATGTAACAGAGTAAGCAAGAAATTCATAGGAGGTCTGCTCGGCTCAGAAACACCAAATACAAGTCTGCTCCAGCTGCTGAAAAGAAAGTTTCCACTAAAGGAAAAGGGAGAAGACATATTTTTAAATTAAAAAATGTAAGGTGCTTGTGGACAGTGTCTTCAGCTGTAATGAAGTGTGTAGAGTGTGTCCTGCCACTGCCTTTGTTGCTCCTAGGAGCCCTCCTACCATATTCTGAAGAGTGGCTCAGACTCCCCAAAAGAAATAGATGTGTTGTATGAGACTTACTGTTTTAGTAATCCATCCATCCTTCCATCCTTCCATCCTTCCTTCCTTCCTTCCTTCTTCCCTCCCTCCCTCCTTCCCTTCATCCCTCACTTTCTTCCTTCTCTCTTCCTTTCAGCTTTTTTTCCCTCTGGAAAATATAAAATAAAGAAACATTAACCTTGAGCCCTTTTTTTTTTTAAAACAGATTTTCTATGCAAAGAAGAGGAGTCTGGTTCTTGCTATGGCCACATTCACTAGGAAAACATTTTTTTTTTAATCCTTTAAAGATCTAACTAAATAATACTGGAAGTCATCATTTCCATATTCGTTTGTTATTAGAGCCCCAGAAAATATATCTTACTGACTCAAGATTAATTTGACGAATATGAATCAAAATTTTTCTTAAAACCTTTATCTCCTCTTCTGCTACATGTAATGAAAGAGATTGTTGAAAGACCTGTGCTGGAGAGTTGAAAGCACATTTTTGTTGTAGTTTTATTTTTGTAAACATAAGGGGACAATGCACAGTGCATTACAGACTTATTTTTTTAAACCTCTGTATGGTATTCCTTTCAGGCCAGGGATGCTTCACTTACCAGTAAAGGTATTTCTGAAGTTGGGCACATTCATTTATAAAAAATAGGAATTTTGTGGTAGATTTCAGTTGTTTCATTGTCCATTTCTCTGAAGCCCCTTTCTTCAGGATGATACCAAGACAGATGGGGGAGGCCTAATTTCTGTATTGTGGCATTGAGGTGTGTATTGCAATTTAAGAAGAGATCTCAGTGATGCTTGCAGGATGGCAGGTTACTAAGAACTCCCAAGAAAGCTTCTAAAGCTTAATTCATCTTTGCTGCAAAATTGATAATGTTGACTATCATGGCAAGTTCTGTTGCAGAGATGGACACTGTCTTTAAGGTGATGTTTTTTCACTTCATATTCCCCTGTACATTTTTATTACTTTGATCCTGTCATGCTCAGGCTATTACATTTAGTGCATTTTGTAATTGAAATGTTAATTTCTAATGGAGCTGAAGAGAACTTTGTGTTAGGTCTTAGCAGCATAATCAGAAGCTTTCCTCTTTTTCAGCTTTTTTTTTTTCTTGCGGTACTGTAGTTTGAACTCAGGGCTTTGTGCTTTCTAGGTTGATGCTCTATAGCTTGAGCCACACCTCCAGTCCTTTTTAGTCTGGCAGTTTTAGAGATAGGGTCTTGCTTTTTGCCTAGGCCAGCCTGGACTGAGATCTCCTATTTTTGATTTGCCATGGTCACTGGAATGACAGTATGCCCCACCATGCAGCTGTTTTTCCTTTAAGATGAGGTCTCGCAAACTTTATTTGGCTGGGCTGGCCTAGAACTGAGAGACTCCTGATCTCAGCCTCCTGTGTAGCTTGAAATGACAGGTATGTACCACCATACCCAGTTAACATTGAGATGGGGGTTATTGGGGGTCATGGGGTCACATGAACTTGCCCAGACTGGCCTAGAATTGTGATCCTCCAGATCTCATCCTCCTAAGTAGCTAAGCATGAGCCACTGGTACCTGGCATCTCAGCAAATTTTACGCTAATGATAGCAGAAGTAGTACATTAAAGGATTTTTTTTCTTTTTTGAGACTGGATCTCATATAGCTCAGGTTTGTTTGGAACTCATGATCATCCTTTATTATTTTCCTGAGTGCTGGGATTATAGGTGTGAATCACCACACTGGGCAGAAATTCATCTATCTTTTTATTGTAGTTCTTGGTCACCAAACAGTAAATTTTAGAATTTCTCAAATCACCTCTCATATGTGGCTAGAAGAATGTCTATACATGCATACATGCTATGAATGTGCTAATGCTTTTACTTTTGTTTCTTATAGCCCATCAAAGCTCCTGAGTCTGTTTCCACCATAATCACTGCAGAATCAATCTTCTACAAGGTAAGCTTCCCTGGAGTTACTGAAAGAAGAGTTGGGCCTGTGTATAATGTGCTAGAAAAAAGTTGTTTCGATCTAACCGTCTCTAGTATTCTACATTATAAAGTGCAGTTGTGCATTTTGTTCTCTTCTAAGATGTTTTCCCCCATAGTTGGCTGTTGTAAAACATCTCATCCAGAGCTGAGATGAGAGAAGTTGTCTGTGGAAATCATGATGTGAGTTGATGTTGCTTGTAGAGTATGTAGACCACAATGTCTAGTTGGTAGAGCAGGCCCAGAGATTCCAAAATGCCTTTAAGCAGAGATGAGAGAAATAAGGACAGCAATGGGAATTAATACCTACTAGAAGTTCATGGTGATAGAGTCCAAGAGTTTTTGATAAAATAAGAAGATTAGTTCCCCTAGGCCAAAGCCCACAGACATCTGTTACTTCAGTGACAGGTAATGTATCATTTAAGCTGGAAAATAGTTGGAACATGGAAAAGACCTCTAAGGCCTGGCAGGCCTGGTAGGCCTGGCATAGGCAGCAATCATTAAAAGCTTTCTTGGTGTTATGGTGTCTGAACTGTCACTTAGGAGAGAGTGATGGGAGTTAGTGCTTATTCCTGACCCAAATGGATAAAACCGTGAGGGCTCAAGTGGTTATGACCTTTTGAGTATATTTATTTTTTGTTAGCCCACAATCAGTATAGGCAAAAAGCCTTCTATACACAAACATCCCTCCTATATTTGTAGCATTTCCTATATTGTTAATAAGAAATAAGATAGCTAAAATTTAGTTTGTGCTTGCTATGTGTCAGGCACTGAACATTTGTATGTTTTATTTCATTCAATCTACTCTGTAGGATGGGCAGTATTTTCCTCATTTTATGGATGAGGGTTTTAAGGCACAGAGATTAACTCGTTCAGGATTGCACAGCTAAGACAGGTAATGCTGGAGCCTAAACCCAGACCTCAGTTCCTGGCTCCCCCACTTTGTTTTTATTTCAGTGGTACTGAGGTTTGAACTCAGGGTTTCATACTTGCTAAGCTGGCATTCTAACACTTGAGCCACTCTGCTAGCCTATGGCTCTACCACATTGCAAGTGGCTAATGACTTGACTAGGACCATCCTCCCTAATGTCACTTCATCTGTAAAATAAAGATTATAAGGACTGTAAATAGTAATTACCTCCTGAGATGATGCATGTTAAACAATTATCAGGGTTAAGTAAATGGTAGAAATCATCATTTTTACATCTTAAATTTGTGTATCACCTTTCCAACCGAACATACATTTTAGATTAGTCCAAAAGCAAAGAATTTAGTATACTAGTGATTGCCATGCATGTCTCAATGGAAAGGCACATGGAACTTGTTTCCACAGGTGTCAGTATATTCATATTGCTGTCTCCTACCCATGTTTACTAAACAATAAGCACAACACACAACAAAATGCCAAAGATATCCAGATTGTAGACACTGTCACAGCAAAGTCAATACCATGGTGATGAGTTCCAGAGGTCACAACCAGCTGCTGATCTAGAACCCAGATCAAACATTCAAGAGGGAACTACGTGGGAGTTACTGGAGATGACAGGAAAGAGTGTGGACACCCAGGATCTAAAATGGCTAAATGACCTGCCTAGAGCCTGGCAGCAGCAAAGCAGCTCCATGAACTCATTCTGGTTACTCCTCAGTGTTCATTGCTGTGTTGCATGCATTCCTTTCTGCCAGAAATCCTGAGCTCTGCAAACCAAGGAGAAGCTGTTTAGGTCAAGTGTCTTAGTCCACTTAGTGTTATATATATGATGGTAGTCTCCCTCACAGGCAGTTTCACCTTTTTTATTAGATCATATTCAACCCTCCATCACCCTCTCCTTTCCCCCCTTTCACTGGTTCCCTTCCCCAAATAATATCCCTTTTACATTCATGTCATATATATATATATATATATATATATATATATATATGTATATATATATGTGTATATTTATATGTGTGTATAATATATGGTCTAGATTCTACATATGAGTGAAAATATGTGATATTTGTCTTTCTGAGGCTGACATCCCATTTAACTTGATGATCTCCAGTTCCATCCATTTTCCTGCAAACAATAGAATTTCATTCTTCTTTATGGCTGAATAATGCTCTGTTGTGTATATAATACCACATTTTCTTTATCCATTCATTGGTTGATGGACACCTAGGCTGATTCAATTGCTTGGCTATTGTGCATAGTGCTGCAGTAAACATGGGTGTCCAGGTATCTCTACTAATGCTGATTTACATTTCTTTGGATATATGCCCAGACGCAGTATAGCAAGATCATATAGTAATTCTATTTTTAGGGGTTTTTTTGGTTTTGTTTTGATGGGAGTGGGGTTTGAACTCAGGGTGCTGCACTTGCAAAGCAGGTGCTCTACCTCTTGAGCCACACCTCCAGCCCTATTTTTAGTTTTTTGAGGAACCTGTATATTGATTTCCATAGTGGTCACACTAATTTACGTTCCTATCAATAGTGTATAAAGGTTTTTTTCCCTGTACCCTGTCTCTGGCATCTTCATTAGAATTTGTTACTTGTTTTCCGAATAGCCATTAAGACTGAAGTGAGATGAAATTTTGATTTTCATTTCTTTTATAGCTAAGGGTAGTATACATTTTTCATGTATTTATTGGCCATGAATAATTAGCAAGTTTCTCCCAATCTGTCAGTTGTCTCTTCATTCTGGTGATTGCTTCCTTTAATGTACAGAGCTTTTTAATTTGATGCAATTCAATTTGGCAGTTCTTGCTTATATTTCCTGAGTTACTGGCATCCTATTCAGAAAGTCATTACTGTGCCTACATGTTCAGGTGTTTTCCTCATGTAGTTTCAAAGTTGCAGGCCTTATTTTGATCTATTTTGAATTGATTTTTACGCAGGGAAACAGATAGGGTTTTAGTTTCAGTCTTCTACCTGTGGACATCCAATTTTTCCCAACATCATTTGTTGAAAAGGTTGCCTTTAACATGCTTTTGGCACCTTTCTCACAAATCTGATGGCTGTAGATGTGTGTGAGCTTATTTCTGGATTTTCTATTCCATTGGTCTGTGTCTGTTTTTGTGCCAGTACCATGCTGTTTTTGTTACTATGACTGTAGTATAATTTGAAGTCTAGGTATTGTGATACCTCCAGCATTGCTCTTTCTGCTCAGGATCGATTTGGCTACTTGGGGTCTTTTGTGCTTCCATATGAATTTTAGGATTGATTTTTCTGTTTCTAGGAAAAGTGACACTGGAATTTAGATGGGGATTGCATTGAATCTGTAGATTGGTTTTGATAGTATAGCCATTTTCACAATATTAATTCTGCCCATCCAACAACATGGAAGGTCTTTCCATCTTCTAGTGTCTTCTTGAATTTCTTTCCTCAGTGTTTTATAGCTTTCATTAATGAGTTATTACACCTCCTTAGTTAAGTTTACTCCTAGGTATTTTATTTTTGCGAGGTTATGTGAATGGGATTGTTTTCCTGAATTGTTTCTCAGCCTGTTTGTTGTTGGTATATGAATAGCTACTGATTTTTATATGTTGATTTTGTATTCTGCTAATTTGCCAAAGTGTTTATAAGATCTAAGAATTTTTTTGATGGTGTCTTTATAGTCTATTAAGAATAGGATCGTATCATCAGCAAATAGAGATGATTTGACTTCTTTCTTTCCTATTTGTATCACTTTTATTTCTTTCTCTTGCCTTATTGCTCTGGCTAAGAATTCAAGCATTATGTTGAATAAAAGTGGAAAGAGAATACCCTTGCCTCATTCTTGATTTTAGAGGAAATGCTTTCCGGTTTTCCTCATTTACTATCACATTAGCTGTAGATTTGTCATATATAGCCTTTACTATATTGAGGTAAATTCCCTTTCTACTTTCTTTTTTTTTTAAACATTGTTTTCTTTATTGGTATTTAAATTTTGTTCATTTTCTTGGGGTGTGGTCCTGCACATATATTTACAGCAAGTAAAGATAATAAAATTTCACTTTTGAAAACAAAATTTATAGTAGGGATTGTGCTTGATTTTAGTTTTGCCCCAGCGTTTCCCATGTGACCTTTGTTCCATCCTCATATCCAGGAAGCCTTCCCTGATCATTCCGGGTTAGAGAAAGGGCTGCCCCAAGGTCCCACAATCCCTTTCATTGTCTCCTTCTTGGTAGTGGTCTTTTAGAAATGTGGCCACGAATTCTCTGATTCTACTCCCATGGAAATGTACAGACTCTGCCCCCTTCCCATGGAACTCAGTAAGGTCTTTGTGATCAGCTCAGACTGAATATGGTGGGAGTAACAGAGGGACTTCACTGTGGCCCACAGAAATCCCCAGAAGGTGCTAGGGTTAAGACCAGAACTCCCCATATTCAACACAGGGAGCCCCACATCCCAGGCTGCTTTGCTTCTCTGTGCTATGCTATTCTTGTCACCAAGGCTGAGGTTTGTGGGGGTCTTAACTGCCCCTGATCTGACCCGCGATGGGCGCAAGTCTGGTTGTTCTCCTGAGTGGCGCACTGAGCCTTTCTGTGATCTGTGGTGAGCTTCCACAGGAACTAGATGGAAACTGATTTGTTGTTTCTTGCTATTTTTGCAGCACAGCAGGTTTTGCAGCTCAGGGTTTTGCAAACTGCTGGCAGGTTTCCTCATAATGCTTGAGGCACGCCTCCAACCCTTTTTGGTTTGGATATTTTGGAAAATAGGGTCTCGTTTTGCTAGGCAGGCTGGACTGCCAACCTCCTATTTTATACTTCCCACCATTGCTGGGATGACAAACACATACCACCACACTCAGCTATTGGTGGAGATGGGGTCTCACAAAGTTTTTGCCTAGAACCTCAATCCTCTTTTTTTCATTTATTTATAATTTTTTCATTATTCAATATGCATACAAGCTTGGGTCATTAACTCCCTGCCCCACCACCCTCCTTACCCATCCACCCACCGCCCTCATCCCTCTCCCGCCAGACTACCGAGTACGCCTCGATACGGGCCCC